TAAAAATTATGAAATTGATTCTTTGAAAGATCTGGAAGAGAGAGAAGATTGAAAGAATCAAACTACACACATTCACATACCTTTCTCCATGATACTTTGCGAATCTTCTTCATCTCATTGACAATCGTTGAAAAATCGTAATGTTCTCTGAAAGATCTCAAAATACACAAAAGGAAAATTGAAATCAGAAGAATGACCGATTCATAGGGAGCTTCTGATCGCTCAGACGCAAAATCTTCAAGATGATGTTCGGTGGTCGACATTCATAATCCCAAGACTTCCTGAAGTGAGAAGAAGAAGTTGAGTTGACATTTGAAGAAGTTACTTGATCATGTTGATCAGCCAACTGATGAGAGTGTTTACCATCACATGAATAATCATTATGTTTCGATATAAACCTGAAATAGCATCATATGCTCTATTGAGCAGTTCAGTCATCATCAAACCCATATAAGACCAGGCATGACAGCTCTCTATGGAATAGAAGAGGACAAAAAGGAATAACAATGAAATGAACTGAAGAACAATCGTTTGCTCTTTGATTGATGAGAAGCATCGTACCTGAGTAGACACAGAGGGAGTATCATTCAGGAACAGAAAGGAAAAGTAAAGGAAAACTGAAAGAAAACGATTGAAGAGGAAGGGAATGAGATGAACCGCTGAATAGAACGATGGTTCCATAGAAGCGTTGGTTAGAAGAAATCTGTTTGAACCAGAATATGTTGAAAGTCAACTGAAGAACTAAACTGCATCATATAGACTAGCTCAACTACCTTGTTATACTGCTGATGATCGATTGCTATATGAGAGTAGGATACGTTGTTGCCGAAGAGCTTCCATTGATGATTTGTCTTGAAGAAAACTTTTTCAGATGAGAAGGAAAGATTTGGTTGAAGAATGGAGATGAATGATAACGGACAGTTAACTATATCATCTGGTAAGCTATGATAAGCTCATTAGATGAATCAGGAAGCTCCTTCACTCACTAATCAATTATCTGTTCGCATTTACATTTATTACGTTCGAATGTCTGGTAAATGACTTTTCCATCTGACTTTATCTGTAAAATCAAATAATCAAAAAACATGTGTATGACGTGCAGTTTCGGAGGATTATCCTTTACGCTAATCTCACGTGAAGTTCACGTGAAGCTTTTTCTGTTTATTTTTCATTTGATGATTCATGAGAGCGGTTGTACTTGCGATAACAGTTTCAATACTTAAATGTACTCATAGTTACCATTACAGATGGATTGTTGTATTGGATTCCATTGAAGGTGTTTGTCAGTTCTACAGATGGCTTCCAGACCTTTGAAGAGATGAAATGTGAGATGAAAGGGTAGATGAGAGAAGAAACCTCATTGATAGGTGCATGGAACTCCTGGAATCCATGAAAGAGTGGATCAAAGATGAGTCGATAATCATTCCATATCTTACACAACACAAGTCATAGAAGAGAGAGGGAAGAGCTTACCATTACATATAGATAGTGATAATCAACAATGTTATCTTTCTATAAAGCTATAGCATAATTAGCATAGTTAGGATGTCTTACGTGAATGATGATATCCAAAAAAGGAATATTAATAGATAGATTTATGGAATTATTAGGTTGAATACGTTTATCATAGTTAACATCAATCTTTTGATTCAGAATAGTATTTGAATCTTAATTATATGTTATAAGTTATAATTAATGATATACACATATACTTACTAACTATATGAAACAATGAAAAGACCAATGTTATAGTTATGAATGTCATTGAAAGAATAAACGATTCCAAAATGAAATATAATATTCTCTTCTTAAAAATTTGGCAAAGAAGGCAATTGACATTTGGTGGCTGTTATTATATCCGTCATATCAACAATCCTTCCTTGATAACGGAACTGAAGTAGTAGTAGTAGTATATAGATAGCATAATATATATCATTATACTTACTTCTATGAATATGCTGTCTGGACTGTTGTCACAGTTTAACCGAGTTCCAATTGGCTCTCCTTGTACAATTCGCTTTCGACCGAATCCCAAATCACTGCGTGTTCGCACATTGTAGATGTGCACATCAAATCCTATTATCAGACAATAGCATAGTTAACACATATCTAACTCACCGATCCAATCCTCTGTACCCACAATGAACATGGCATCGTTATCACATCCTATATATCCATCGTTTGAATAACGAAGACGAGTTCTATTATAGAATCCTTCATCAATGTTAAAAAACTGATTGCTCACCTTCCCATGATCTCTCCTGTGATGGGTGAATAGATTAGTGGAGCTCTAATTCCTTCATACTGGTCTTCGATCAAAGAGCATTCCATATCCCAGCCATGAACTCCATTGTATCGCCTTCAACTCACTATGGATAAATATACTTATAAACGAGCTAATTACTTATCAGATCGGAAAGGCTCTCCCAACAAACGATTTTTCGAATTTGATTCACAGATTTGTCCTGTGCACATGCCTTCAATGAAATGATTCAGAAGTAATATGGGATGATATTCTTACAATGCTGCAGGTGGTAGGTTGGGTCAACAAGCTTTCCCTCTCTGTAAAGCTTCATCTGCACGTGATATTCGGAACCTCTCTGATCTTCATCTAAGAAGCATGACCTTCAAAGTGTATGTTATGAACTGGGAGTCTGAAACACCGAAACCTGTCTTTAACTGTTCCCAACTCCTGACCAGCTTCAACGTTTCCGCCATAGAAGTTTAAGCTGATAGATGAGATGTAGACGGCGTAACCTATAAGTTGTAAAGTGTTTATGATGTTTTGAGGTCTTCTTCCTACCCTGCCATTGACCAGTTCCTTCGATTCGAACTCCTTCATCGGAGCACTTCTTATCGGAAACTCCACCAAATGGACGCCAATAGTACATTTCACCAGAGAAAGGTGCATGAACGGATGTTCCTGCTGGACAACGGATATCGACGCCATCAACAACTTCACCATTGGCACTTCAAAATAGTTGATAAAGACAGAACAGGAACCTGATTCAAACCGAACACTATGAAAAGTTCCACAAGTTCCATCAACATCAGGACAAGCTCTAAGATCGTTCTTGCGATTGCCTTTGCAGACAGGAACCATACATCCCAGCGATGAAACTTCTAAGATGAAACAGCTTATAGAAAGAATGATAAGAATACAACAAACCTTGTATGATGAATGCCGTAAGCAACAAGTGGAAGATATACTTATCCATTAGAAGAATCTTCTTTTTGAAGCAAACTGAATTTCGTTAAGGAAGGAAAGATTTTGTAAGAGGAGGTTGTGCAAGTGACTAATCTCAATGGGTCACAGACAGCAGAGTGATAAACGGCCCAGCAGATGTCCTCAAATATAATTAAATGAGTTCAAATGATATTGATATAAATAGTTAGTTAACTATATGTACATCTCTAACCATATATAGTATATCAAAGATGATAATACTATATATTTCTAATTATAGGATTGATGAGTAACGAAGAAAGCACAACCGCTCATCAGTCTACTATGACATTACGAATGAAAAGTCATTTACGTAGGATGGTAACAATCATAAGTGACAAGCATGCTCACGTGCTACTGCTGCTATACTCTCTTTCACTATATTCGTCTGAGAGATTTTCAAAATAAAAAAAAATGTTTTTGCATTGAGGAACAGAGACGAAGGAGGATATCGTTCGAATCTCCTATTCAACAGCTGACTTTAAACTTCTCCATCCAAGTAATGGCCATGCAATGGAAGTCTTTTGATGTTTGACAAGTCTCTATTCTAAAAAAGTAATAAAATTGGTATTTTTAATAATAAAGAAAAGAAAAAATAAAATAAAATCAACACAAAATGCGTTTTGGATGAATGAAAAGCTTTTCCCTCACAACAACTGGGAGAGAGAGAAGGATATAGAGAGACAGAGAGCTAGAGAGAGAGGGAAACGAAGTAACTTACAGATAGATATAGAGAGAGAGAATGAAGTTAGATTTTTGAATGAAGAGAATCAACAAGTTCCTTGTTCCCTTGCTTTTCAACTGATCAGGGAAGTGGAAGAGAGAGAGAGACTTCATCTTCAGATGATCACCTATTGATACTTCTGTTTCACAGAAATGAGGATTTGAAATGAAAAACACGAAAATTCAAATGAGAAATGATCATGCAGCCCATATATTCATTTGTTTTTCTTTCTTCCTTACAACTCTTTCAAAATATTTTCAACTTTCCATGCTAATTTGAGCTTTCACCTCCGATTGTCTGTGGTTGGGAATCAGTTGATGAGAGCAGAAGATCTTCTAGTCTCATCAATTTCCTTTTCTGATATTCTAATTATAAGTTTAGAAAAGGAAATACATTAACCATCACTTCCTTTGATGAGCATACTGATCTTTCCACCCACCCCCTCTCTCTCTTCGTTCGTGCTTATTGCTGCTCTTTCCCTCCTTCCATTCTTGGAATAACCATCTCTCTCTTGAAGTAGAATTTCCAGCTCTTGCAGGAGAGTAGTTTTCACTCTTTTAATAGCCCCTTCTAGTCTATTTGAATAAAAGAATAAAGAGATTATGTGTGAGGTTCTTCGAACTGTTCATCGGCTTATGTCATCTGTCCTACTTCACAGGTGGGAAGTCAATCGGCAGTGAAATTCAAAAATGAAAATTGAATTTGAGAACTCTTTCAAGTTTCCAAAGCTAATTCTTCTCTAAATTGTAATTTTCGTCTTCCATCTTCGTTTCTTTCGAGATAATTGTCCATCTGGCTAATACCAGAAGCTGGACACTGGAATCTTATGAATGAACTCGTCTGCCACTCTCTCATCAAATGAATGCAAATATGAAATCTTTTGTTCATCACGTCTGACATCTCTCACATATGTATTATGTTTCTCTTCTTATACTATATATGGAGGGTGGGGGTATGGGGTGTTATAGAAGTGGGGCTTGGGCCACCCAAGCTTCAACCTCTTACTCTCTTCTTTCATACTCTCTGCTCTCTCCATCTCTCAGCCTACATTTACCGCTCTTTACTCGCAGTCCGATTAATCCCATCACGCGTCGTAGTTCCAGTACATATGCTTCAGAAGCCTTCCACATTATTTGAAACATAAATGGTTTTCACTCATCTTCCAGTATTCAAATTCTCATGCTCTCATTCTCTCCCTTCCTCAGTACCTCTCTCTCTCTCAACGAAAATGTTTTTTGTCATCTGAATAGCTATACCTCCAAATCGTATATTTGATTCAAGAAACCATATTTATCTATTTGTGGTCTTCTTTAATTACAAATTGTTTCTCTCACACTTTCCATCCCAAAGATCTCGAAAGCGAAGAAGAGAGCAAGCTTCATCTCCTCAGCTCTCCCTCCCCCCCCCACATCTCTCTCTCTCTCTCTATTCAAAACCATTTTTTGCATTCTCTTTTCATCTGCTAGTAAGTCAGTCCAGGCACACGTTCATCAGTCTTTCCATCATGTCAACAGTTTTTTCGCATCTGAAACATGAGATTATTATCTGCATATTTGCCTATTTTGATTTCATGAACAGATTATCAGATGAAACTTGAATTTATTTAATATAAATTGTATTTAACAGTCCTTTTTGTTATTGATTTGAACCTGTTTCAATCTGTTCTCTCATAGGCTTTCAAGTTCAAGCTGAATTCGTTTAGTACTCATCGTCATGGTGACCACAACTTATCCATTCCTAAACATTTCTCTTCATACAGAGAGAGAGGTCATCTTTTAAAATTCTTTTTAAGCTCATTCATAGTAACGTTGTCTTGGTGATACTCTTTTCTCTCCTTCAGTTAACCTTTTTTGTATCTTTTGATAAACGTCAGCTTCATGTTCGTACAATGCTTGCAAACGAACACCAATTCTCTTTCACTCGTATAAATCCATGCGACCAATCATTAAACGTGAGATTAACATAATTTGTCTCACGCGTAATTCACGTGAAATTCTCACGTATGTCGAATTACGTGCTTCATTCATTATTCTGGAAGAAGCTGAGGAACGGTTGTTTTTTTTCTTTTCTCTCTTTCTTCTTCTCACTCTCTCTCTCTCTCTGTCTTCTACTCCTTCTCTTCATGCGAATGTCTACATATCTCCTTCATTATTCAATCTAACGCCTTATCCCTCTAATTCTCTCATCAACTACACTACAATTCCACTCTTTATGTCTCTCCGTTGCCTTCATGTTCAGTTGCATTCACTAGTTGTACCAACTCCAATTAAGCTCCTCCCACATTTCTCCCCTGGGTTTATCCAATTTAGCTTGTCGCCCATAGTGCTCCTCCCCCCTTTCACTCAACTTGCTTTACATTCCTATGTACAGACCTCCCATATCTCATAACAACATTTGCATAAACTAAAATATATTTTCTTATATCATATAGTAAATACACATATCTACAAGTCGTTTTCATTTTGGCAATGTTGTTGTTGTTCATTGAAATCAACCAAAATAGTTTCTTTTTGAGAAATACGTAGCTGGCAACAGCTCAGAGCTTAGAGACCTACTATCTCCAAACCAGAAAAACGACTTATATTAGCCTCCTTTCCACCCTTCTTGTTTTCTATTGTTCAAATTCAATTTTTCATTTTCTGTTCGGAGAGTAAAGGAAAGGAATATGAATCCCTTCTGTGGAGGAGAGGTTGTAGCAGATAACGAAAGAGAGAGAGATAGAGAGTGAGAGAGTGGAAGCACAGTTGATGAAGTTAAGAGGAGAGGTAGAGAGCACATGCATTAATAACTGCAAAAGCTGCCTGCCATTGAAGCTTTTGTATGATTATAAGCAAATGCTGAAAAGCTTCTTTGTGATGGCGTTGTCAATGCTCTTTCCATTCCATTTTTTTGCTTTGTGATGACATTTATATTATTCAAGTATCTATAAGATATAATTATTTTCTGTTCGTCTTTGTTTTTCTTTTTTTTTTCTCATCTTCGCTCTCGCACTGACGAGCTTGAGCCTATATATGGACATCTGTCACTAAAAGCTCGAAGATGGCTTTTTCAGGTTGTGTAACCCCTCCCTGCTATCCTCTCAGCTTCATCTCCTTGCAAAGGCATTTTTGAAATTATTTTGATGCTTCCTCTCCTTCCTTCCTCTTCTCAAACATTTCATTTGACAACAAGAAAAGACAAACAAACAGTTCTTTTTCCTTTCATAATTTAATTTATACGAAAAGAAGTATTCGAATCGTCTTCTCCCCCTCTATCTCTCTCTCTCTCTCTCCCATCCTCCTTCTCTCTCTTTCTTTCTCACATTTCTGCCATTTGACGATACGTGAAGCAAACGTTCTCTGATTGATTTTGTTCAAACAAAACATTTTTTCGCCGACAAGCTTTTTACCTTGTTTTCTGTTCATTTTTTATTTGTTTGTCTTTGATTATTTGTCAACTTGTGTCTGGTTGTCATTTTATCAAAGCCGACTGGACTGCGAAACTCGTCTCATCCTGAACCCCCCCCCCCCCTTCCTTCTTCTGTTTCTCTCTCTTTGAACTTCCCCTCTCTTTCATCCACTTAGATTTACCTCTTCCTCTTCCACTACCTCTCTTGATCTCTGAAACTATCCTTTACATCATGTCATACTCATTCTTCCTATCATTTTATCTTTCCTCTTAATAAATAAACGACGTCAGATGAAAACATCTGGCTTCGACTTCTCATTCAGTTTCAGAAACTCCTCCCGTGTCACTTGCGTCAACTAACAGAATTCGCTTTTGTCTTCAAACTTTTCATTTCAACCTCTACGTTTGAGTTACTCTTTCACTCTTAGACAATGAGAGTTAAAGAGTAAATATGGTTTCAACCTGAATGGTAGAAGGTCGTTAGTACCAACGATCGAAGACGAAAGTTCTTGGCTGTAAGCCGTTTTCAGAAAAAATCTGAATATAGCCGGAGGCTACAAACTATTTGTTCCAAACCTTTCCATCTACTAATTCCATCTTCTTTTGTCTTCTTCTTCTCATTCAAACGAACTAGTCACTTCCTTTTCTTCCTCTTCATTGTCAACACTGAACTTTCTGACGTTTTTTTCTTTCAGCTTCTTCCTCAACTTCCTTCGTTAACTTTTGTAATTATTCATCCATCTCTCTGTCGCCCACCAAATATTCAGCTCATTTCATCCTTTTTAGGAACAAAAATGCAACGTATTCACGGCTGGCTGGACCAGCTAACCCTGCGTCGCTCACGTCGACGCGGACAGAATCAGAAAGAACGTCGAAATGCTAGTGTGGCTCCCAGTTGTCGTCTGAATTCTGAAAAAAGCACCACAACATCATTGACTCAAGCACGTCCTAAGAAGTTGGTTGCTGTAAACGGTGAGTCTCAATCAAACATCTACAACATGATATTGCTGTTATACTATTGCTTGTCGGCTTATGATCTCCGACATGAGAGAGCGAAAGCTTTTCCATTTCGTCAGCTTTTCGTTCATTTCTAATCCTTTTTTCTTCACATTTAAAAAATGTGAATATACGAAACATCCTTTTCATCATTCATGACCTGAATTGCCCATATTCGTCGCAACTATTCCATTTTTGCAGTTCCTTTCATCTTCCCGCCACCACCAACTGAGCCACCAGCCTGTATGACATCATCTTGTACGAGAAGACGAGTAAGTTTGAAACCTTTCGCTTGCAACTTGAAGGATCCAACAGAAATACTTGAAAATTCGTAAAATTATATTGTCTTTTCATGAATGTTTGTTATTAGTATTTGAGTATTCTTTTATGAAAAGCTGCTGCGCACTTTCATATCTCAGAAAGGAATGACAGAGAGAGGGAGAGAGAGAGAGAGAGTGAGAGTGAGAGAGAGGGAGAAGCTTAAGTACTTATTTGCATTCATACCTTTCGGTAAATGAAGTAAAAGCATTAATTTTCTAATTTCATTCAAGAGACATTCAAATATATGAAAATCCTTTAATATTAAGAGGAAAGCTCTCTTCTCACGTGAATGTTGTTTCAGGGTATTCGAACAAATCCTTGGCTTTATATGGATCAGAATCAGTCAATGAACGGTAAGCACAGTGTTATCATAGAGAATGGGGACGGAGTGAAGAGGAAAGACAAAGAAAGAGAGGCAAGGAAGGGGGGGGGGGGTCTGAAGAAGTGAAGCTGTATGATACGAAGCGAGGAGATGCCAAGGCACGTGTTGAATAATTCGATTCATTTCAATTGGTAATTGCTTTGAAAACTCTTTAAGTTACTTGTGTTTGAAAACAAATTGGAAGACTAGTAAAGAGTTGAAGAGAAGCTCATAGAGCATATGAAGGATGGGAGAAGTTGAAAGTTGAAGGGAGGTTGCCGAGATGATTTGCATGGAAGAGTCATTGACCTGCATTACATAGTTGACGACGAGTAAACAAACCTAATGACAACTGATTCGTTTTCCATTTTTGGATATCTTTTCAAGAAGCTAATTGATCATAAATCCTTTCTATATTAAGCTGAAAAATGGGAGAAGATAAAGAGGGAGAGAGAGAGAGGGAAAACGAAGAAGCAGATGGTCAACTAGAAGCTTAGAGGTCGCTTCTGTAATCTTATGTTTCTTATTTCTGTTCCCTTTTTTGGTTAAAGCTTAGATAATGGCATCTGGTGTGTTGTCCATAAATAGAATGTGATTGTTCATTGGCTATCAAATGATGTTGATCATGTCTGAAATGAGACTAATTATAATCACAATATAGTTATATACAATTGTCTGAATCAGATGAGTGCTTTCAGATTCTTATACAAGTGCATCAACGGCATTCTCTTTGGATCGTCGTCGTCCACCTCCACCTACACTAGGTGTTAAAAGCCTTGAGGAAAGCATTTGCTCTTCCGGTTATGGAAGTCAAGACTGCAGGTTCGTTCATTACTTCTTTATGTTCTTTTTCTATTCTTCCTTTACTCATTATCTTTGAACATGTTGAGTGTGAATAAGCTTGAGTAGAGATCAACCACAGCCCTTACTCATTTCCACCTACCCCTTGGGGGATGTTGGAGTCCAATGACATCTAAGATCCGGTCATTATTCAGTTTGCTTTCCTTCCTGCCTTTTACAACAAACGCCTTCTGAGGGCTATTCATAATTTCAAAAAAGAGAGAAAGGAGGAAGAAAAACGAGAAAGTCAATGGCACCTCCTTTCCCCTCCCTTAAGAAAAATGAAAGGCAAACTGAAGTGGACAAGCAAGAAAGGAGGAAGACGATTGTCTCGACACAATAAGAATGAATGAACTGAATTGTGTTAGGATACTCCTGAAAGATCTGGTCAGGATGTGTTCCATATAAGTGAGTGAGAAAGTTCTTTCATGAGCTTGGGAAAACTGCATATCCTTACGATCTTTTGCTTGAGGTTATCCATATATGGTTGTGGGAAAAGTATCAACTGACAGACTGAGAAAGATATAAGTGAGAGAGAGAGAGAGATGGAGTTGGTTGTAAGGGTAAGATAGAGAGAATGAAGCAATTCTTTTTATGAGATATGAACTGAGATTTTGGTAAAGGCATGACAGAAGAGAATCTCTTGGGACTCTGACACTCTGTTGATTCAGCGTTTCCTTTTAAAGTAAAAGAGATGATCGAATAGACAGAATGATTTATGAAGATAATGATGACCCCATGTATAATCATTATTCAGCGATTTATGATGGACTACCCGCTTTTCTCTCATTTTTTTTCTTTTCTGCCAGTTTGCGGGAAATATGGTGAGCAAGCTCATGAGGCCAGGCGAGCTTTGAAGAGAATTCCGAACCATTTCGTAATTTTCTTCTTTCTCTTTAATTTGGTTATAAGCTTGATGTGTCAAACTCAATATGGAAATAGAAGACGTTGATTGCAACTTCTTGTTAGCATGTGTCGTCCTTCCCATCGAATGTGTGGCCAGCTTAATACGCTAAAACCTAATTAGAGGAAAGTAGGGCAGAATTCTCCCTCTCTCTCTTTCTCTCTCTCTCAATAGTATAAAACAGAGTAGGAGAGATACAGAGTGATGGCGATATGAGGGAGCATGGTGTTACACAATTTGTTTCTCTCTCTCTCTATCTCTCTCTCTCTATATCTCTTCTACTCTCTCTCTTGCTCTGTGTATACTCGAAATATGATACTTTTTCCATTTTTCAACACAATCTTTGGTATTATGTGTGTGTGTTTCATGGATTGTGATGGTTACAGAGGTATTAGTAACATGAATACAGAGAGAGAGAGAGAGGAGAAGAATTCAGAAGAAAGAGGGAAACATAGGAAATGTTAAAAGCCTTAAGACTAATGGATGACATTATATCCTCCCATATCATTCCATGTGTCCACCTTAAGCTTCAATATCATTTCCTTTTGTGGAAACAAAAGTTGAAACTTGGTTTATGCAAATGTAATGCTTAATAGATTAAGCTTAAATGTCTTAGAATAGATTGACATGAATGATGTTGTCAAATGTCAAATCAAAGAATTCTGTCAAATATGCAAATCGATAGGTATCCTTGTGGTCGTTTAAGGTTTTAAGCCTGAATAAATTAAATTTGAGAAGAAGACGAAGCTTCTCCATTCTCCTTTTTTGTTTCTTCTCCTCCAAGCTGTTCTGATATCGAAAATGAATTAAAGTTAATGGGAGAACATTGAATGTGTTCATTCATCTTCATAATGTTCTTCTCTCCACACACACATACACACACAGACAGCCATGCTGGCATGGAGATGGTCAGAAGCCTGTTATCTACTGGTCATCTTATGCAAATTGAGAAACTTGAATGTCACTCACAACTCACGAAATCACTGAAAGCATGACAAGTTCATTTGAATGAATCATAGTAATCACGATCAAATGAATTGTATGCTATGTGTGTTCTCAATGGTCGCATTGCGCATGCAGAAGTTCATTCTGTTTCATGTGCTTCAATCACATACCATCATTATGGGTTTTGCAAAGGCAGTCATCTAATTTGAATATTCTGAAACCACTTGTTGAGGATTGAGAGTAGACAGGGACTTAAGCAATCAGCCATTTCTTAATCAGAACATCTCGTTAAGTTTGTAAGTATGTTCATCAGCTCATTCCCATGTTCAGTCATGCTTAAAAGGCTTCACAAGCAGTATGTTATTCATTGGCTGAATATCTTCAATGTCATTGTTGAAAGGGAGAAAGGAATATACATATACATACTACCATCTATAGAGAGAGAGAAAGAGAGAGGGAGAAGGAGGGAGACTCTTTCAAGTGTTCAATTACTAAAGAATGACAATTAAAGTGAAGCTGCAGCAGCAGTAGCAGATAAACGAACAATGTCTTTTGATGATTATAAAAGATGAGTACTATGGAAATTCTGAATGAACTCAGACTAAAAGACAAGTGTTTCATTTAAAAATTTCATTTTCAATTGCGCAATTTCATAATTTTATTCAAAATTTCTATTTCTCATCTAGAATTCGTAATAAGCCGATGAGCACGTGAATAGTATAGTAGCATTGACGTCACGTGAGCTATGTGATTCTAAACGTCACGTCAAATACGTGAAACATTGCGTGACGCAGCTTAACATCATTTTCTATTTTAACTGCTTGTAGATCGGTTGAATACACAACTCTCATTATCTATAAACTATTCAAGCAATGTTCTATTTATAGTCCGGACTCGTCTATTCACTTACCATCATGGAACAGTACTGGTGGAAGTCCAAGGAATACATGGCAAACCTCAAGTCCAAATCCTTCACTAAACCAAAATGATGGAATGGATGATGGATGTTTCTTAGAGGATACGTCTTCCTTTGGAACGTATGATAACATATGTGATGAGCATATCTATCATGAACTTGAGGTATGGCCTGCTTGTACGAACAACAACGTCTAAAACTCATTTTCAGATGATCTGTCGTAGACCCGACCGTTCATACAGCTCAGACTGCTTATCATCATCAGAACAGGAATCACCGTTACCCAGCAGGGAGTCTCCTATCTATGCACAGCCCTGGGTGCATTATCCTTCATTCCGGCCACCCTTTCCTAAACCTACCTCACATGCTCCGGTCTCTCTCACATCAACTTTCAAACCTCCCGGCCTACAATCATTTAAACAAACAAATAATCAGTTAAACAGCTTTGGAGTGATGCAATCAGCAGCTCCAAGACGGATGCTGCCATGTCGACCTACGTCACCAATTTACGCAACACCGTACATAGGTCCTATGGCCAGACCATATGTAGAAGAATTTGGAGAGAAAGCAAACAGCTTCATATATCCTAAGAACTATTACAACTGTTTGGACAGTGCACCACATCCAACAGACGGTCCAAGGAATATGGAAGAAGCAGAAGAGGAATTCTTGGAAGAACTTGATGCCCAAATCAATGAGCTACAGGTAACGGACACGACTTCTCCTTACAAAAACAAATTAGAATGTTTCGAAAACATTCTCAAGGGAGACATCTCAGTTTTGAATAGAAGAAAAACGAGCAAATCTATTTTGTGAGGACATTTTTCCATTAAGAGCTGACTGGTTGAAACTTGATGAATATGTTTGAGCATTAAGCCGCCTGAGGCATTAAATACATTTCGGCAACTTCTTTCATTTTCTTGACCAAAAATTTTTATAAAAAAGATATATTGCCAAAGGGATTAGAATATGAAATTCATTCTGCAAATCACCTCAATGTTTCTATTTGCAGCAACGATCAGATGAATTACGACATCTGGTAGAGAGGGCTCGTGTTCGTCGAGGAACTAATCACAGCACCAAATGGTCACGTCCAGTGCTGGAATGTACATTTGAATTGGAATTATGAATATCCACAAGCCAGATACAGTATTGAACATGCAGAATTTCTATTAATAACCTTTGTTATGGATTATCTTAAATGCTCAGCTTAACCCGTTTATCCCCAAGTACTCAAGGAGCTACCGTCCTCTCCTATGCTAACTGGATAACAACCTATATAATCAAACAGAATATCTGATGATTGTTAAAGTACTTTATTGATTTACAAATTTTAAAACTTAATAAGATTTAAGCTTTTCTTAAATGAGGGATACTTAGAGAGAGATTGAAAGCCCTTAAAGGTTTTCAAAGCAATCGAGTAAATAGCCTGAAGATGTAATGGTTCCTTCTGTCTTCTCTCATCTTCTCTCTCTCTCTCTATGTGAATCTTCTCCATTTCCTCTCTCAAACTCCTGACACAACATAATTTGTAGAAAAGAGCTTTTCATTAATTTGATCCAAGTAAGATCTCATCTCAATCGGTGGTAAAGTGAGCTTAAGCTTAGAGCCCAGCTGAACTGTCTTCAACTTGCCATTAACTATTCATAAATTCTAAATAAATGATGTATATGAGCTTCACCTTTCATAGGGTTTTTGTTTGTTTTCATTACTATTCGCTGAAAGAATAAACAGCTTCTAAACTCTTCTCTCTGTCTCTTTCACTCATTCAAACACATGATCATCAATCAAAGCATATTTCTATATTTATATAAAAAGGGTCTTGAGCGGAAAAACAAAATAAATAAATATCTTTTGATTATGCACAAAAGAGGAATGGCAGACTAGAAGTTATTCAATCGGCTTGATGACAAGTTGGAGATGAAGCTTTCCATCCACAACATATGATGAATCTTCGGCTAACAGGTCACCGATCTCTACACGTTTATCAAAATCAATTTCAGCTGAGTATCTGGAAAGAAGAAGCTGATGAAGCGTTAATCCTATGATCTAACCTGGTCTTGGTGAAGTTTTTCTTTCCAACACAGGACTTCAACACTTTCTTCTCGTCAACCAGCGAAATCATGTACTCCACCGATCTCAAATAATTTCACTTGTTTAATTGGATTTGAAGAAGCAAATCAAATATCACTGCTACTGAGAAATCGAATGCTAACTACCTTGGCGAGTCAATATCTTCAGCTACCAGAAAAGCTTGGAATGCATTATCTTGAGGATTGTAGGAAGAACCACATATTTTCACTGTCCACTTCCACGTTTGTAAGGGGAAAGTGCATGAACGGGTCGAAAACTGAAAATTAGCTTCCTTGAAATAACATTTGGAATTATCCTTCTACTATGAAAGCATGATCGATCCCATTTACATACAGCTGCTGGATGGAAACAGACAGAAGCTTGTCCCATCGGGTGTCCGTATATTTTCGAAGAACAAAATGATTGGATGAAAACTCTCTGAACATACAAATCAATTCTCATATTCATACTGATAACTACTTTTGGCTGGCACGACTTGAGAGAGGTAAAGCTTGCCACTTGTAGGCTAACAGGATGATCGGATGAAAGAGTTTCGGATAATTCTCGGCAACAGGACTTCGTTCAACTTGCGATAGTTCATCAGCCGTCATAAAAGCGAACCTTAACCGAGATTTCATTGCTTCAGCTCATAAAAGCTATGCGAATGTTACAAACCTGATCAAAGGAAGCAACTGGGCCATGAAAGGAGAAGCCGTTGGCCCACGACGTTCAGGGTGATTTGGAGCTTGGAGCCATCGATTGACTCCTTCCCAAATTTTATATTCATCTGAAAGAGGCTGCTTATAACAACAAGGTTAGACGAAGTGATCTGACTTGTCACAACGATTTGATTCGATCGAAGAATCTCCATAAGTTGATCTCTGTGAAGATTCAACCAGCTTTTATCCCATTCTTCTGTTAACAACGTTTCAAATTCTTTGGCGATTGACAATATACAAGCTCTTATAAGGTTCTGAAGGGAAGAGTAAGAGAAAGGGTTGTTGTAACTCACAGTATGGAAAGCTTTCGAAGCATAGGAGAACCAAACATCAAAGAGTTCTCTTAATGGCAATTGGGGCAAGATCTCATTCATAGCATACTTGATACAAACCTATTGTACATATAAGATAGTCTGAATGAAATATCAAACAACTCAACTGTTTTCAGATTAACTATGTTGTACTTATCAGCTAAGATGAGCAGAGGAAGGCAGTTCTCTTGATGTAACACAACATGGTTACAATAGAGGAAACGAAGAAAGGCATTGAAAACTGTCTCACATGCTACATCTTCAACTATCTCCAGGTCCTATAACATGAATAAGAGATGTGAACGACCTCTAGTTAACCTTCTTGTCTCCATTCCACCGATCACTAAGCATTCGATCGAACACATCACTGCTTTTAGCCAATATAAGCTTATGAGCTGGATAACTGAAAGTAAGGGAAATGTATTCAAAGAGAAAAGTGAAAGCACAAACGAACGTATCATCTCCAACAATGATATTGATGTCACTCAGATGGGTATTGTTATAATATTTGGCAAAATCGTTCATTCCTTCTCGATCATCTCCAAAGCAGTCCATACCTTAAACAGATCATGAATCATTACACTGTTCATATATTTGGGAGGAAAATGGAAAAAAATGCTTTGAAAACTCTACCAGACGGTTCACTTTCCGATATTGGTAAACGATTTTTGATTTCTCTAGTTGTCATTCTATTGAAATAACAATTAACAAAGGAATCAGAAGAGTCGATTGACACAAACGAGAGAAGAGGAATAGAGCTTCTTCCTTTTTTGGATACAAAAAAAGATGATTCTAACACATTGAGCTTTGAATGAGAGAGAACGCTTCACACAACGATCATTCAATGGCTTATTCACATACACGTATATCTCTGTTCAATTTGTTTTTTTTCTCGAAAAAGAGAGGAAAACGAAAGATTTGGCTTCTGGTTATTCAAAAGATGTCTCTCTCTCTCATGTCGTAAATGGCTTTATTGCAAATGCATCAACTGGTTTATTTTCTCTTATAAAGTAGAACATCACAGCTTATTTCATCAATCTAATTAGCATACGTGAAGTACGTGAAGACAATCATATGATTGCCTTCCAGTTCATTCATTTCACGTGTTCGCGCAGTGAACGGTTGCTTCTCTCTCTCTCATTCAACATCTCTCTCTCTCTCTATCTCTTCCACCCCCTCTCTCTTTATCTTTTCAAAAGAAATTTCTGTTTGGTTAACCCATGTATCTGAAACATTTTTTATTCTCTTTTTTTAAAAAGGAAATACTTGTGAAATCGTTAACTCAACTTGTTCAAAAGATGTCCTCGCGACCACACACCTTCATTTGTCATTGACATTTACATGAACATTTCTTTTATTTCCACTTGTTTTTCATATTTGATTTTGGAACAAGTTTTTGAAGTTTTGAGTTGTTCGTTAAGAGTTCCAAAGGTTTCAACAGAGGTTTTTGATCATGAAAGGGGGAATGAGACGTGAGAGAGATACAATGAGGAGAAGAAGAACCAGGAAGAGATCATGTATGAAACAAGCTCAAACAACCTCATATGTTATCACTTTCTTCTTCTTCTTTTTCTTCTTATTTATATCATATCAATTACTTCAAAAATAGATAAAATGAGAAATTTTTAAAACAGGAAATGTATGAGAAATGAACAAAGAAATTCAAAATGAAAACTTAAAGGGCGTAGTCGTCATCAGAACTTCTGACTTGTCGTTGTCAGCTGATCAACGAAGCTCCCCCCCTCTCTCTATTCTCGTCTTAGAAGAAGACTGTCAGTCAGCTTCTGCTTGACCGGTAGAAATTAAGCTTAAAAGTTGTTGTTTCAGTGTTTGTTATGAGAGACTAGTAGAGAGAGAGAGAGTGAGAGAGAAAGAGAAAGAGAAAGAGAGAGGGACAGAGAGAGAGAGAGAGGTAAAAGGAACTTAAGCAAACAGTTTAACAAACCATTTTCAATTAACTCACAAACCTTTGAAAACTTGAATTTGTTTTAAATAAAAGATAAACATTCTATTTAATCTTGTTATTTATTTATTTTTACTTTTTGATGTTTACCAAACGGATAGTCAACTCTACTCATTTCTTACATTTAGATGGGAGAGAAGAGAGAAGTTAGGAGATGACGGAGAAGGAGTCAAGTAAGGAGGGAGAAAAGCTTTGTGAGGAATTGGAAGCGAAAAGGAAAAGCTCTGTATCAATGACTTACTCCAGAATTCTTCTATCCAGAATTCATCATCTTCGTCCTCATTGGCTATTTTGATGTTGTTTGTGAAAGTTTTCTGATGTTGATAAGATATCATCGTTGCAATAACAATGATTCAGAAGCAACCACGAATAGGAATAGAGATTGATAGACGAACTTACAATTCAGTTCAAGTTCGTCAACGTAGCCACGGCTTAATGGCGACTGCTCATATTCTGATGTCCTCGGATTGTGGTCGGGTGCAGCCATCTGTACCATCTGCTTTCTGAAAGACGAATTATTTTTGTTTTCTTTGTTTCCAAACGCGCCAAAATCTATAAAAGGTAGCGAAATAAGTTGTGTTACGAAAGAATAAGGTCAGAAGAGTTTTCAAAATGGATCTTCACATCTGATGTACACCTGAGAGAAGCAATCAGAAGTACCACATTGCAACATAGACACACATAGACATATTAATATGAAGAAATGAGAACATATAAACGTTCGCAGATGTTTCCAAGGGCGAACTCGTTTATGCTGAAGTCATGATGACAGTGAAAGTGTCTTATCACAATTGAGTAATTCACATTTCTAACAAATATTTTTATTTTTGAAATGTAAATATTTGGCTTCATTCGGAAACATTTGTGGAATGTTAGGAAATCAATTCTAGAAAAGGCTTTGTACAAGGCTTGAAATCATAAAAAATGTTTATTTGATCATAATTTATAAGAAGAGGAGATGTCATCGACTGCAGTTTTGTTCATCCGGATAACATATGAAGGGAACTACATGGCTTGAACCTGCTATCGTCATCTGTCTGCCGTACATACGATCTCGTTGTCTAAATCAATATCATAGGGTTTGGATATGAAGTTATAGTTATTACGGTTGACTATAAGGATCCTGTGTTGAGCCTCGTTGAAGCCTTATCGGAGTAGGGGCAGCGACAGGAGGAGTAAATTCCCGATGGTCTCGAGCAGCATAAGCTGGATCGACTCTACTCCACTCTCGAAACAAGTTATCACTCTTGGTATCAACACTGAAAAATCAATCATTAACTATGTTGTACATTGCAAGAAGTCATACCTGTAATCTCTTTCTAAACGTGACGATCCACCTATGTGCGGAGAGCTTACATTACTATGACGGGTCATTAGAGATAGTCTACGTTGTTCTTCAATAAAGACTTTAAGCTTAATTTCATAATCATATGGTTACCTAAATCACTTTTGAGAGAGTCCACACTACTGGTGAACAAAGGATCATGCGCTGAGGATTCGGTGCTGTTCGTTGAATCCATCGATGATACTGCGGTCGTGGAAAGAAATTTTCGTTGAATGAGAAGCGATCTGAACGATGAATGATAAAGAATATAAGAATAGTTCGTCATGTTAGTGAGGACAAAGGATGCTTCTCCTATCTCATACAATGATAGTTCTCTGATTCGGTTGGATATAGTTGGGGGACAGTGGGATATTGTTTCTGAGTATATGAATATGGTTGAGAGCATGCCATGTAGAGAGTTTATGTATGTGTCTTTGGTTCAAACCTACAAATTGTTTTCCAAACGCTGATTCCAATGAAGATCAGACATTCGTCTGTTCGATGGACGATGATTTTGATAATCGAATGAATCTCGTCGGTAAGCATAATCCATTGATTTGGAAAAGTGGGGTTCTACATGTTCCGGGATGATCTGAGACATTCTTCGATGTCGGTAATCAACATGGTCATGAGATAAGTTTTTCCGACTCATTTCTTGGAAATGATCTCGTCGCAGGCCATCAGACGGTGTTGGCATCATTGAATAGCGACGGTTTGTACGCTTCGACCCATCATACCGATTGTTGCGATTATAATGTAAAGATTGTCCGTTACATCTTATAGTAGGTGGCGGACAATATGAGCTACGACGAGGCTTTTCGAACACATGATCGAATTCTATTTTGGGGTTGGAACGTCGCTTCTGTGTTGTATCCTGTGTGAACGCACTTACACGCTTACAACTCGCCCTATAATTGAATGGAACCCTTATATTGCCACTTTAAGGTCAAATTTATATTTTTCTCGCCTCCATCATTGGTCATTAAGATTAGAAATGAAATGATATACCGGAAGCTTCGACGTCGATCTAATGCTTGATGTTTACGAACGGATTGCTGCGATTCTTTGCGAGTAACACTGAAATCGGTTCATCAACAGAACCATATATTCTAATATGATGGTTGGAAGCTAAGATCTATAGCCTATTACGAAGATAGGGAAGAAAGGGATTCAATACGCTTGTTATACCCACCCACTGTTCCGAGATGAACTGAACGTGTCCATAGCCTCTCTTAATTGTTTTTTTTGTTTTCTTTCATTATCAATTTACATTTGCAAGCTTAGTTCACTTGTTACGTCTTTGCTTACTCAACGAAACACTTTTTGACATCAAAACTCACTTGTACTTCATTCGTTTCCGATCTGCATTTTCTTCCTGTTTCGGTTTTGGTTCCATTGCTACTGACTGACTATCAGTGTTTGAATCGAAAGAAGTTGATGCTGATGAAGGATCAGATATTCCTTAAGAAGACACATTATACCATATATGGTATATGAATTGAAACAAATACAAATATATATATATTAATAATCTGATTAACTACCTAATGCGTGCAATTGCTCTAAATGACCTTTTGCTGCCCAAAGGGAATGACATGCTTTGGTTACAGGTGATTCCTAGAACATACATAACTCATAGCTTTCATAATCACCTTCGTAATGAATTACATCGCCTGTATGCTGTTGGACAGTTGACTGCCGGACAAACTGATTACGAGGTTCCGTAACAGAAACAGTTCTTCGATCAGCCATAGACGGTCTTCGACCATCAGGTGCTCGTGGTCGATCGTCAAATGATTTCGCCTTAAAAGGTAAATGCAATAACACTATGTATTAACATCTAAGAATATAATACTTGCTATAGATGTATAGATTGTATTGGAAAATAGAAAAAGCAACCGCATACTCAGCATATGACACTTTAAATGATGACAAATGCTATATTGTAATGAGCCGATTGTTTACGTGACGTAAGATTATGCAAATGAGCTTACTTGTCTTTGAAATTGTCGAACAGATAACGAGTTAGCTTGAACAGGCTCATTGATTGTTGGAATGAATAGTGTTTGTGGATATATCTGTTCTGGATTTTCATAACATGCATCAGATGAGTATTGATCTGCTTGTGCAGCTTCATAGCTGGATCGTGAAGGATAACGATCCGTCGGAGTATTATATTGAAATTCATCAGGCTGAAGTAAGATGTGAGTTATGAGAAGATATATCAAGCTTACCCTATTATAATGATAAGAAAAATGAGCTGATTGTTGAGATGAATGCGTAGGAGGTGAAGAACATTCAGGGTTCCATGAACGTGAATAAACATGGCTGCGATCATAAATACGATGAGTAGTTGGTGGGTTAGGAGTCGAATTCTGACAAGAGAATATGATTGTTTGATTATTCAGAATAGTATGTGTTACTTGTTTTCTTGGCATATATCCAGGAATGTGAACAGCATCACTTCGAGCAAATGTGCTCATACGCCTATGACGATCTTCCTGCTGTTTCTTCTGAAACACAGTAATGCATGAATCAGTGTAGTTTCATCAACATATGTAACTATATATTGTATATATATATGTGTATATATCTATACTGATATGAAACAGTTGGATAAAAAGCCTTTTTGGAATTCAAAAATACGAGTCTTTGATGAGTATGACGCGTTATCATTGTATTGATTGCTTGTACATGTATACATACTATATGGAAATCAGGTAATTGATCATTTGAAGTACTTCTTTGACCGCCTTTCCTCTTTTTTTATTTTTAACAGCCAAAAAAGGGAATTTGATCATAAACTTTATCATTTCAAGTACTTTGACACTCATTTATCATTTGCTGCTTATAAGGAACCAACACAACGCACATGATGTACAAGAGCATTTTTGGGAGAAAATTTGGGTGTGCTAGCTTCCAGTTTCATGTTTACTGCTCAAACAGCACAATGTGAATGTAAAGAGCAAGGGTTAGGAGTTGAAGAGAATGTTTAGAGAGAGAGGGGGGGAGGGTGTGATGGATTGTTCCTCAATAATATCATTTGGAATATCATTGAGTTGCTGATTACAACTAAAAATGATTTTTGTCTGATGAGTAATGAATTAAGAGGACAACGAGAGCGGATGGCCGACTGTTTCATAAAATCATTTAGGATCTTTATCGTTTTAATATGAAATTCTGAAATTTAATTGTTCTTCTCATTCAGCAGATCTTTAGTGATAAGATAAGGAGCTCGTGTATAAAAGCAACAATTGACATGTTGAACTTGGCCAGTTGGCCATTCAATCAGGCCGTTTGTTTAGAACCTTTTGAACCTTTTTCGTTTCAATCTGTTCATATGATGATAGTTAAACCTATAAATTTCATTTAATGAGCTTGTTCTTATCTCATCTAATCATTTTTCTTTTTTTAGTTTCAAACAACGTTTTGTATTTTCATCTCATCCATTATCATTTTTGGAATGTAGCCTCCGGCATCTATCGTCACCTTCCCCCCACCCTCTCTCTTCGTCCTCTCTCTCTCTCTCTCTTCTCATCTCTCTAACCCTCTTTATCTTTTCATTCTCTTTCTTTTAACCTCTTTATCTGTTAACATATCATGTAATCATGAAGAGTCCCAACCTTCCACGTACTTCATGTTTCATACGTGAACTGCTAGATGACGTGTCATTCCATAGCAGGAAATGAGATGGAACGGTTGTTTTTTTATGAAAAAAATTCATTTCCTTCTCTCTTTGCTAATGAAACAAACAAAACAAGGCAATCTCCTGACTTCAATCAAATAACAAAGAAGAAAAGGTGAACAAGAGCTTCTGGAAGTCTCATTACCTCACATTATGAAGATATGTCGTCATGCTACTACTTGAGCGCAGACATCACCTACACACATACGATCTTCTCCTATCCCGCCATGTGCTTCCTTTTCTCATTTTTTTTATTCCAATATGAATGTAAGAAACTTTATGTGTTTGATCGCGAACATCTGGCAGCATATCTCTATCAACCTTTAAAATAAACAAAATTTTTCGTGAAAATTCTTCAAATATCTCTCTTATACTTCGGTGCAGATAGATAGGAGGAATGAATAACAACGAGGTAGCAACTGAGGCGTTTTGTAAACAAAACAAGCGATGAAAAAGAGTTTCAACAAGAAGTTGAATCTGATGAGTTTTCATCGAATGTTTTTCGTTTCAAAGTACATAACGTGGGTGGACGCTCTCTTCATCTATTTTTTCGGTCTTCTGAGTATAACACACGACGGAATAAAGAGAAAGAGAGAGAGAGAGAAAGAGAGAGAGAGAGAAAGAGAGAGAGAGAGAAAGAGAGAGAGAGAGAGAGTTGCCAAAAACTGTTTCATTCCTTTCCTTTCTCATCATCTCTTGTCCCCTTCCCCCTCCTTTGCTGTCTTCTTTGCTCTTTCTCTCTCTCTTCATCTGTTTCCTATCAAATGAGCATCTTCGCCTTTCCATTCTTAAAGGTTGAAACAGAAGAAAAATAAACAAAAATTGTAAGAAATTTAATTTTTTGCAGACAGAGAGGATGTCCATCAAAGCATTGGATTGGCAGCAAGTTGAGAACATGAAGAGAAGAGATGCGCGCAACAGCCTTCTAGAGAGGGAGAGGATGTGAGAGAGAGAGAGAGAGAGAGTGAGAGGGTAATGAAAGTATGAAAATTCGGAAAAAAATGTTTTTCAACTCTCTCAAGTGACAAAAGTGTTGTATGTTGTGTTGATTGATGTTACTTATCATCTATTTACTCGTCTCATCCGACCATCCGGTCACCAAATTTGAATATTCGATTGAGATCGTCATAGTACTTTATGTAAAACTGCAAATTATAAAAAGTTCATGAAGTTTCTATAATTAAACATTTTATTTTTGAACAAAAAATGTTTTTCTTTCATTTACGTGAAGCAACGCGTTTGCGATTCACGTGAAGTTGCGAAATCATTCTTAACTCTGTCAGGCGGTATAGCGGTTGTGTTTCATCTACTCTCTCCCTCCTTTTTTTTCTCGACTCCTTCCTTAATCCCTCTTTTATGATCATTACAATCCCCTGTAATTAATATTCGACTGTACTAGAGATTCTTCTAATGACCACCCAGCCAAAAAACTTTTTAAAACAGATGAAAGTCTTCTGATCAGTGTTCACCGTCTTATATAAACAGACCAAACCATTCTGAATAAGGTTTTGCGATCATTATCTTCTCGCTCAACGTCTGTTCCCGTTATTTCTGTCTGGTAAAGTTGAAGATCGTCCTTTTGTATAATCAGCTGTAAAACCTCGCTCTCTCTCTCTGTCTTGCTTGCTTTCATAAAGAATTAAGTGAATGTCTGTCAGCCACAGATGCATGTGTGTATCAAAGGTTTCAACTTCAAATCTTTGATGATTGGACATCAAAACAGATTCTCAAAAGAATTTCCTTTTTCTAATTTGTTTTCTTGAAATAGAAGAAGAAGAAGTACAAACTATGAAAAAACTGCTCAGAAATGCAGTTGAAAGAACAGTTAAGAAGAGATGTTCGCTTAACCCGAATAAGCTTCTTGATGAGTAACTCATGTGTCAGTCGACCACCGACAGAGCATCAAACGACTTCTCTCACTCACAGATCATCTAGAGATTCGTATGAAATGCGAATGAGATTTGAAGGTTAACATCTGTGATGAGAAATTTGAATCATTGATGTTTGAAATGAAATAATAAATGACTTGGAATGTGAAAAAAGAAATTTTCATCGTCTTCTCTGTTAGTTCGTTGTCAGTCGGTTGGCTCTTGTCTCCCTCTCTCAATTTCTCTCCTTATTCAGCCTTCACTTATTTAAATCATCTTCTTATCACCTGGACAGCGACAAAGACTGGCCAAGTCTTTGCAAGTAGACAGACGAGTTCAAGTTCGTTGACCTTGTTATTCCGAAACCAACAAATCATTTGTTTCATTCCTTGTCCAAAACACAAATAAAAATATTTTGTTGAGGCCCCCTTTTCGCCTATCATTAGCCAATACCTTCCGTTATTAAGAAGGCAACTGAATAGCTGGAGGGAGATACTGAGACGATAGATTAACCCAATGGCTTGACAAGAAGGATTTATTTATTTTCACCTCAATTGCTCCTTCTTCCAGCCCCTTCCCTCCCCCACCCTACCTCTCACTCATCTCTTTGCGGGTTCTTTTCGTTATTTTGCAATCTATTTTTTTTACAAATAGTTTAACTATTTTCTCACAATTGTTCTTCTTGCATCATGATTCAGATGCATCCTTCTAGAGAAGAGAAGAAGGACATCAAAAACGTCATGACGTCATTTTGCTGCTGTTGATCAGCAGGACCAAATGAAAACATAACAATTATTTTATTCATTTTTTATTCTTACTTTACTTTCTTAAGATCTTATCACAATACAATGCTTTCCCTCACTCTCTCTCTCTCTATCATTCTCATCCTCTGTGTCTTACACTCTCTCTTACATCTTCTGTGTCTTATAAGGCCAATGGAGGATGTGCTTCCTCTTGAGCCCTCCCTCTCTCTCCTCATTATAACAGATGTTTTTGATTTAAGTAAGAAAAGATATTTCCAGGAGAACCTATGTTGAAAACTCACAATCATCTTCCTTCATCTTTCTTTTTTTGTAAACTTTACTACAGAGAGAGCGAGCTGTCTTTCTTCTTATTAACGTCTTCCTGTAAAGTCTTCTTGATGACTTCTCAGTGATTAAATAGCCTCCTCATCTTCTCTCTCTCTCACTCTCTTTCTCTCTCTCTCTGTTACTATTCCATTACAAAAATTCTTTTCATTTTCATTTCTTGAATCTACTGCAGCGTGCTAGCTCTCATTTGCCATTCAAATCTCCTGATCCTACAAACGTCATTTCAACTTCAGGTTAAGCAGTTGAAAAGATATTTTTCAATTAAATCCAATTTGAATTCATACAATTGGATGTGTTCACTAGTAGAAACATATCATCCGCTTACTATTGGATATGATGAGGATCTTTACTACGAATGCAAAAAAAAGGAGAAAAAAAGTGATCGGAGATTGGACACAAACAGATACCACAAGTTGGTTCTCAAAAATCCATCTGCTTCCCTTACAAACTCTCTCTCTAATACTTTCATAATCTCCTTAGTTTCTTCCTTTCAGCTCTCTCTCTTCCCTCCCTCTCTCCCTCTATACTATGTCCTTTGCTCTATCTGCACTTTCTTTACTACTCTCTTTTTATAAACTATTGTTTTACATCAAATCTTATGTCACACACCCTCTGCCCACCTCCCCACCAACACACACACATATCCTAATAAAGCTTTGTCATTTACATTTTCATCACATCATCTTCTCCTCTCTCCTTTGTCATTTAACCTAAAAATCTTTTTTTATAGTTTCCTCCTGGCACACAGGTTGCTTGAGATCATAAACTATTGTCTGATCACACTTTCCTGCATTGTTTTCATCCACCAACTCTCCATCGTTTCGTTACTTTGATCTATTGCACTCTGATTTAGTCCAAAAAAAACCGAAATTGAAAGAAAAATGTTTTTCGAATCTTTTCCGGAAACGATTTGTACTTAACATTGTTCATGTGAAACTGTTTCATTTTCTCTTAACTCTCTCAGCTTTCCATCTACAGACCTCTCTCTCTCACTCTCTATGTCTCGCTATGTCCCTTAGTAACACCTCGTTTCTAAAAGGAACTTGTAAATTATTAATTTGACAAGTCTTTCTAATTCTGTATGTTTCAGAGTATGAATAAGATATTTATAAAACGATTTTAACATTTCTTCTGCCCGGCCACATCTTTTTTGGACAAATCATCGTCAGTTCCATTCTGTCTAGACGACTTCTGCACTATGAACCCGTACTCACTGCCGTTTCTTAAAGCGATGGGTGTGAATACTCCGACAACACAATCAACTCCGTCTGTTATATTGTATAATCCAGCACAGGTTTGTTGTTATGATTATACAAACAAGGATTAATATATTTTAGATGTTACAGTATAACTCCGTGATGACGTTTTTCGCACAGCAACAGTACTTACAACAACAGCGGCAACAAGAACTTCAAGGAGTACTTCTCAACGGCATGACTCCCAACATGCAAAGTATGCAACATCAAAGTAAGAGTGGCAATTATAATGTTTGTTTATAACATTATTTTTTTGTAGCCGCGAGACCTTTCAACATGGCGGTAACACCTGAGATGCAAAGGATTGCTGCCAACCAAATGGTAAGTCGCCGCTAATTTGCATTTTTCACGTGGCTCGCACGTATCACGTGGTCGCGTAATTGAATGACTTTGAAATTGTATTTGCCTACTTGCTAACAGAATGTTGCTGCTACTCTAATTTAATATTATGATTATTTTAATTCTTGCAGGTTGGCCAGTTTGATCCAGCTTATCAACTTCCAGCCGTTATCAATCCTGCTTTTGTAAGTACAATGCCGACACCAACGCCAAAGTCTGATCCAACACCTACTTCACTTCCCAATCTCCAGAATATGCTCCTAGAACATCAACTGATGGCCATGAGATCAAATCCATCGTTATTGAGCTTTCTTCCTATCGAACATATACCAACAATACCATCATCCATGGCTCAAGTTAATATGACTTCAATGGCGGGTTTCCAGGCCCTTCAGTCGTCAGTTTCATCCTTGGAGTCGGCCAGTATGTTCGCCAAGCATCAACAGAACTTATTAGAACAAAAAATGAAAAACGATGCGGCAGCACTCAAGGCTCAAGCTTCACTATCTATGAGCAGTCCAAAACAAGAAGGGACCAAGTGTATAGTAACGTCGCGTGTTATAACAATCCCTCGATCAGAAAAAGTGATGAAGTTGATGAATTATCCCGCCACCGTGGAACACTTGCAAAAACCAAGAGAGAACACGAGACCGAACGTATTGAGGAGTGTTCAATCACCACCATTTCTGATAGATCTTTCAAATGATACACCGATGACTTCACCTTCAATTGGAGCTGCATCCACAACCACATCAATAGACTCTTTAACTCCTGGTGTTTTTAATACACCACAGTCATATACTGATGCTTGTTCGACCAGTTCTCTTAGCGATGGAAACAATAACGATGTCTCCGGATCTGAGCAGTTGAAGAAAACGCAAAGGAAACTCAAAAGAAAGCGAAATGATATGAGCAATAGCAAGAGTAGTGATAGCAGTCCCCCAATGACGAAAATAGGAAAAGGTGAGTGTCTAATCATCTCATAAGACAACAACAGATTGTGAGAGTAGGATGTATTTCATAAATTATTTCATTTCAGAAGGACCAGAAGTTATTTGTGATAGTCAGCCAACAACATCACAAACAAACTCTACTGTCACAAAATCGGATGATTCGAAAAAGGAAGAAGATCCAGAAGTCTATGTCAATGTTGAAAGTGATCCTGTGAATGGTAAATTGCGACGTGATCAAAAGAGAACGATCTACGGGAAAGTTAAACACCTGCTCAAGAGGCAAGTTTCTTGTTTTCGAAAAAGTTGTTTGTAAACAGCTGACAATTGCAGGGGGAACAGTTTAACATGTAATTTATGTAAAAAAGAAGTTCTCACAAATCACAACAGTGTAACTGATCATTTGGCTGGTCATTCGGGAGAAAAGCAAGTGGCCTGCTATTTCTGTGGATGGACAACGTTTGAAAAGAGTTTGATGGGAGATCACATGAAGAAGTATCATCCCGAGAAGAAGGTTGTTCAGTTTGAAAGCGGAAATAGAATATCTAGTATGTACAGGAACAAAAATACGAAGATATAGGAGATTTGACAAAGATGATCGATGTCTTCAACGAATGTTTTCCTCAGCCTGGACGTGCTCGTCATGAATATTCAGAGAAATTGGAACTGTTCACTCAGTAAGATTTAAAAATGATTCTATTCATTTTAAATATATATGTTTAGAGCTTTAATGGAAAAAAACATAGGACGAATAGATTGCGGAATTTGTGAACAGAAGATTCAAGTCAACAAGAAGCTCATTGAGAAACACGTAATGAGTCATCCACATTTCAGGTTGGTAAAGAAACACTTCAATTTCATCTTTAGCCTATGACATTGGTCATGAGAGTCTCATTATTTCTATTGCAGGTGCAAGAGCTGCCCCTATCTCATAAACAACGAATGTGAGCAACAGCAACATCAGAATCAAGAGCATCAGCAATCATCCCCTGAACTTGGTCGCGATTACGCTCAATGCACGTCTTCTGATGTTATGACCAAAGTGTTTCGTAAATGCTTCAATCAAGCATTCAAACATATCGAAAAAACACATCCAAGCTCTGTGCTCTTTGACGCCAGTCCCACGATATCAGATGCTACCGAGAACAACCGAACGATTTGAAGAAACAAGCGAAAGAAGCGAATGAGAGAAGGATTTCTCTGAAGCTTCATGTATCTAACTATTCAGGTGCTATAGATGCCTTTCTCATATTCTTGTTTAAATACTTTCTCGTGCTAAATGCTATTAAGCCTTCTTGGTCTCACTCATTCGACTCTATCTCTCTCTCTCTCTCTCAGTCTCTCTCTCTCATCATGTACTTACTGGAATTGTAAGAAGAAAAATTATTTTTTTAATTAATAACTATCACGTTGTCCTTGTTAGAGAAATTATATTTTGATATGTCGGCCCATAAGCTACAAGCCTCTGCTCACACAATTTGCCGAAAATGGAATAATTTGCATTTCTAATAAGATTCCACCTTCTTCACCCTCTCTCACTCTCTCTCTCTCTCACTCCACTAACACTTAAGAGTTGACTTTTGTAAAAGTTTTTTTTTGTTTTTCTGAGAAACGAATTGTTCGAGAAGTGCCATGTTCAAAAGATCTTTCCCTTTCATCCTTGTTCCTTACAATGTTGTCATTCAAATGATTCTTTCTGTCAGTTTTTGTATTTTCACTCATCTCTACCATGACTGGGTGTATGTGTATGTGTGTATCTGTGTGCGTGTGTGTGTGTATGTGTGTGTACGTGTGTATGTCTCTGATGTCTAATCATCTTAAGCTTTAGCTTACCGTTTTTCAAATTACAAAATAAAATATTTCATGCTTTGGTGTTTCATTTTACAAAAATAAACTAACTTCGAGTCCTTCCGTACTTGGCAATTGACGCCCCGTCCCTCTTGGCACATCGCATGATGATCGTCGCATCTGAAAATGGAAAAAGCTTTTCTGTTTTAATTTGTTTTTTTCTTCCTTTCATCTATTTTTTTCTGTCTATATTCAGATGAAAAAAGCAATTATTATGTTTTTTATGCGTTTTTTTGCTTTCAACTTGCAATTGCTGATCATTTGCATACGTGAGAACTATGCACGTGATAATCACGTGGTACGTCAATTCATTTCATTTGAAACATGCAAAAGCAAGACGTTAGTCGGTTGGTTATGTTGATTGTCGGAAAGCATGTCGGTCGCAACACACACAGACACACACACACACACTCTCATTTCATTTTCAATTCTTTGTTTTTATTGAATTATTTTATTATTTACCTCTTGAGAATCATTAACTGATAGAAGTTCTGCTGAGTGAGCACGTAATGGTAAATCGCCTACTGCTAAGAATGATGAAGCTTAAACATGATTATGAACAGACATTATATGGAAATCAATAACTATCACTACCTCTACTTTGATTGGTTGCTTGATAAGTTGTGTTTTGAGGAATATCTTGATGACTCTGGATGAGACTTCTTTGCACATATGGAGTTTCTTTTGGCATTAAAGGAAATACTTGAGCTATCTTGGTGGGTGATCCGAAGCACCCCGAGTCACGTTCTACCACAGTATCTACTCTTTAATTAGATATTTATGTACTTATTCCACATATTATATCTTACGTTTGTTCTCTAGAATGATCTTCTAGAAGTAATGGGAGTGGTCGGCATTGGCTCGGTTGCTCGCTGCGGATCTGTTCTCGCTTCTGTTCGGGTTTGCATGTTCTGAAATACAATTGAGTTGTGTGTATGGCTGTTCGACGAATTAGGAAACGGAACAATAGGTAATCTAGCTGAAAAGATCAAAACTCACGTCGTGACAGGAGGCCTTTTTTTCAAACAGAAACGGTATAGATAAACTGCAGTTATCACAACGGCCAAGCCGCCGACCACTCCTGATACAAGAACTGCGATAGTAAACAACGGGCGTTGTTCGTCCTGAAAGTTCGAAAGCACAATAGAGGTGGAGGTTTGTGGAATGAAAAGCAATTTTTTGAAGATTTTCCTCATTTTGTTTCTTTTTTTTACGTGCAATATCCGAATATGGATATGAGAGAGAGAGGGAGAGCGAAAGAGAGAGAGTTTCGAGAGAATTTTCGAAATAAGATCTCTTTTAATGTGTAACCATATGAATGGAAATAGATAGTACATGTAAAGAGGTTCGAATGTATTGAATTTCTTGTCAAAAAGACTTTTACAGAGAGAGAGTCCAATGCTTGATCCATTTCGTCTAATATCAGATGACATTTCATAAAACCAAATGATAATATGTGTGAAATGGATTCATACGTCAAAGACAAGACGAAGAGAAGTGAAGAAGAGGAGAACATGAAGATGGTTGCTACCACCAACACCACCACCACCAACACAGTATGTATGAGAGAAGACGAGAAAAACCAAACAAAAATTGCTTTTTTTGGCCAAAGTTTTGGTAGATGACGCAAAAAAATAATTTACTTTTTTGTTTTTTTTTTCTTCACAAACACACACAGACAGCAAGACTACAGCTAGTCTCCAGCCACAGCGCGCGCAACACACACCCCAACCACCACCACACTACATGAAGGAGGCGAAGGAGTGGCGCCTACAACACGACTCAACGCCTAAAGCCTACTAGCCCTGCTGTGTCCATGCTATGTATTCCTTATGGAAACATCAATTCAATCATAAAATAATCTTTTTATACATTTTTTATTACAAAAATATGTTAGTGAATTAGTTATTATTCCTCTAAGAAGACGAAAAAACTTTAATTTTCTCAAAAATCAATCAGGTAAATGAGTTTTCGGCATTTTCGGTCAATTTTTCATGAAAAATTCAAAACATTTAATAGTAGCAAGTCCAAGTTGCAAGATGAAGCTGATAGTTTCTAGCTTGGAACACACATTTTTCATTTTTCTCTCCGCGTTTCACCCCCTCACTCTCTCTCTCTCTCTCATTCTCTCTATACCACCTTCTCTCTCTTAACAATGTTTTGAACTATTATAAAGAGAAATCAGAAATTCATTAAAATATGTCAAATGACGTATGGATGAGAGGGAAAAGGATTATTTTCATAAAAAATGATGTCAGGTAGGCTTAAAGACAAGAGAGAAACTTTCCCTCCTTCTATCTCCTTCCCTTCTCTCTCTCTCTCTATGTTTCGCTGATCAACTCTCTAAGAGATCAAAAAAAAGGAAAATAGATGAATGGAAATTAGAAGAATCAGAATACGGACAAACTATTGAAAGAAGGTTTAAAATAAAAAGTTTTGACTTAATAGGGACGGAGTTTCTCTCTCATGACTTCTCTCCCTCTCTATCTCCTTTCAGTCTCCCTCTGCCCTTGTCTTCTTCTCTCTCTCTCTCTCTCCCTCCCTCTCTCTCTCTCTCTTCCAATTTTCATAAGACAACTGACGACGATAATAGAATAATTAATAAGAGTTGGCCTATGAGACACACTAATCGTAAAATGAAAGAGAATTGACATACAGATATGGAAAAAGCTTCAAAATTTGAAATATTCCCAGCTTTTATCCACGAACTTACACATGAAGCTCGAATGATTCAAGTGACGGGTGAGTGAGAGAGAGAGGAGAAGAAGAAGAAGAAAACAAGAAGATCCTTCGACCAACTTTTGGTGTTTAAATGATCTATTTCAAGACATGCGGCTAATTTATACACTTGCTTATATGGGTATAATGAGTACTTGAGGAAGAACAATCAGACTACAAATGGAACAAGAGAAGAGCTCAACAAGAAAGTTTATAAACAGCCATTGTCACAACGGCGACAATATTTAACGAAAAAAAAAAGAAACGAAAGGCACAGCTAGACAGGGGGGCGAAAAGCTGTGATGAAGATGAAGGTGAGAGAGACAAGTGGATGCAAATGCACAAAGCATTTGGTTTTCCTTTTTTGGGAGTTGTTTCTCTAATATATACATTCATCCATATATAAACAAGAGACGTTTAATGGAAAAGACTAAGCTGAGCTTAGTTGGTAAAGGAGGAACTGAACAGATCAGGCGATCATCAAATGCCAAAAATGGAAAATGAAGACGCAAAAACTGAACTCTGACGAACAAAGTCAAATGAGAGTGAGTGTGAGAGAGGAAAAGAACCGAAAGAATAAAAAACTTTCTTCTCTAGCACAGTTTCATGGAGACAAGATGAAGCTCATTGGATGAAAAAACGAAGATGAAAGGCTAAAAATTCAGATGAGAGTACAAAGCGAAGACCGGGATGAATTATTAAAGTTAAGGAAATTCCACGATGAGGTCAATGGAGGGACCGCCTGATCCCACAGAAATAAACAGAAGAGAGAGCAAAGTCAAATGGCAAAGTGAATGAAGAGTGATGTTTGTGATTGAAGATTGAACGAACCGATTCGATGTTAACGATGACCGGCAAGAAAAATATGAATACTGTAGCCAGAAGTAATAAACTGACGAGAGCATGTTCGCATAAGTCGAACAACCAGTAATATACTTTATAGAAGGAATTTGTTAACAAAATTAAGGCAACACACATAATTCCTTGACATGTGAATAGAAGGAATATTATATTCAGTAAGAGAATGTTGATTTAGGAGTGAAAAAGAAGGCAGGAGGGAGGGGGGGGGAGTAAAGATAGGAGAGAGGACAACGTGTCGTTTGAGAAGCCAGGCTGTCAGTTCAATAATGGCTTTGATGAGGCTGTGAGAAGTAATTATTTTCTTTTTAATATCAAATAATATTCTTCTTCTACTCTATTTCTCACTCACGTCGTCCTACTCGTCTTCCGAGTCGTTTGGGTCAATTATGGGCCCTGAATATGAGAGTGCGAGAAAAAAAATTATTTGAAGTCAGTGTTAAGCATGTCGGAATGAAATCAAAGCTGGCTAAGCTTCATGCAAACTATCAATATGTTTGGGGAAGAAAGCTTTTTATAGTAGATGTTAGACTATACCAGATTAGTCCAAAAAAGGAGAAAGGAAGAGAGAGGAGAGAGATGTCTAAATCATATTGACAGACTTCTCTAAATTCAGCTCATTTACGTTCAGATACATATGATAATATCGAATTGAGTTATAACATTCAGGAAGTTTCTATGTTTCTCAAAGAGACAAAGAGATGGATAGAAAGAGAGAGAAAGAAAGAGAGAAGGAGGAGGAGGCAAATCTTCAGAGAGAAGGATTGAAAAGCTTATGAGAGGAAGCGAGGATGTCAACAAAAGAAAAGAAGGAATTATGATATGTAGTCCTTGTTAGTCAAAGCTTTATCTCGTTTTGGGAACCTCCATAACTATAAAAATACATATTTGGGCATAATGAAATTTGTGCGCCCAAAAAAAAAGAGAAAAAGAAAACAAAGAATGGTTATGGTCATCCATGAAATATCAGTAGAGCATGTATGAAGAAGGGTAGACGAAGAAGAAGAAGAAGAGGAGCAACGACGACGACGACGACATGAAGACAGCAACACACACATACAGAGAGAGAAAGCAAAAATAATTTTGGTTACCAGGCAGAGGCGGACAAAAAAAGTCAAATAATTATGGTTGTCTCTCTCTCTCTACATTGCTCGTGTGGTGTGTGTCGTCGTTTTATTGTGGAGTAAAGGAAGCAAAGTGAAATTCCAAAAATGGCCAATTAGCAGGAATATAACAACCGTGGAGCGAATGTGAAAATGTGTGTTGAAAACATTAAAAAGATTAATCACCATATTTGGTTGTTATGCTTACAAAGTTTTGGGAAAGCGATCGAACAAACTCACACAGACTAATTCATTACATATTCATGACGTTATTGTTTCTTTTAGGTCGTCGACACAACCTTTCGAACATTTTTGCTGTCAAAATCAATTAGAAGAGGTGAGATTGTAAATTGAAAGAGCAAATGACTCTCTCTAAAGCACAAAATATCGTAAAAGGCGCCAAATGAAGAAAAACAACAGAGAGAGAGAGATGCGTATAGAGAGAGAGGAGGAAGAAAGAATATTGAAAAATGCAAGTAAACATTCGTAAAATTTAGAAAATTAAATTATATAAACAAATAAACAAAATGAATCTGTAGTAGTGTATGTGTGTGTGTGTGTGAAGGCGAAAGGGAGAAAAGAAACTAAAAGGACTGATGATGGTTGATGGTGATGGTGATGGTGGTCATGATGATGATGATGATAGCTTGTATGAGCTTCTACTTCTCAACTCTTATATACTGAGCATGGAGAGATGTATGTATGGTGGGTGAGAAATGCTTAAAAGATGATGCTTACTGCATACTAAGCAACTTGTAACTTGTCTAATATGCAAATTAAGGAAAGACTTTTAAAAGACAATTTGTATTGCGTGCTCTTTAAACCATAAAGGACATTTCTCTCTCTTTAATATGATATTCAGTTTAATCAATGAAATTTTAATGAATATAAAATATTTTTGTTAATAAATTCATAACGTACCTTTTCGGTTATGGCTACAAGCCATATAGCAAAAGTCTTCAACAGCGACGTCTTGTAACTGAAATACACACACACACACAAGAAAAGAAAGAATATGAACTAGAACATACGCTTATACATAATAAAATAATATATATATATATATATATATATATGTATATACATAAACAAGTAACGATAAAGTTCGAACAAAGAGCACTGTGTATGCAGAAGTTGATGATGAAAAACCATTAGTGAATCAAATCTTTAAAAACGGTCTACAGCTGGCTAGATGGAGATATGGCGTCGTATATGTACAGATTGGATGTCTTTCACCTTCTACTGACTGAAGTCCTCAAGCATTTGCTTTCATCTCACAAACTACCAACACATGAAGCTTTTCTTCTTCTTCCACTCCTTTCTTTCTAACTCTCTATCTCACTCTCTATCCTCCTGAAGGAAGTCTTGTGCAACTTGCTTCAGAAACAACACAAAATCCTTTTTACTATTTGTGATGTCTCCACACCACTACCACCACCACCACATCATGTGAACTATCGTAACTCCTTCGGATCAGACAATAAGCAACAAAAAAAACATTTCTAATCATGTATTAAGGAACAGAATTATACTATTATTTTGGATAACTTGCTCATAAGTGCAAATCAATTGTCTAATTTGCATATCAATAACCACGTGAACGCCCACGGACCAAACAGAAAGAAATCATTTTTAATTCGTTAACATATGGGAATCGGTTGCATTTTTTGTTTCTTTTACTTAAATCTCATTAAACTATTATATAATATATTCATTTTCCAGATAACGAGAGAAACAATAGAAGACAAATGAATAAACATACGCATACACACACTACTACTACACTCTTCATTCAAGCCATATACAACCCAACAACAACAAAAAAATTAAAAAGTTGACGCCGCCAGTTCAGATGAGGCTGAAACTGCCAAGCAAATTGATAATGTAGTCAATTGGTAGAGAATGAATAAGAAAAGAATAAAAGAATTACTTTTCATTCCATAATTCAAATATAAACAATTCTTTTAATTTGAACAGCACAGAGAAAGAGGGAGGGAGAGAGAGTCAGAGAGAGAGCTAGAGAAAGAGAGGAGCTAGAGAGAGAGAGAGATTAAAATTCAAAATGATCATCCTTCGTACTTTTTCCTAGTTTGAACCTTTTTATATTCTTCCTTCTCTCTCTCTCTAGTTTCTCACTATCATATTATGTCCTTTATATTGCTCTTACTCGTTTGTCCTCCCTCTCATCTTGTTCGTTTCTTGATCTACTGCTCCAGCTCCTGTGTGCTGTCTTTCGCCGGTTGTCCTTCTTCCTTCTCACCCACTCCCTCTCAAAACAAAAAAATTGTGTCCTGCATTTGACTCATGAACTTTGAACTTCGCGTTGCCATAAATTGCATATTGACCACACTATTTCTCAGAGATACCAAACATCTTTTAAACAATTAAACGGTTACTTGTAGAAGATTAAATTACGTATGAAAATGCACTTAAGCTTCTCTCTTAAATTTCTTGAAGCCATTAATTTGTTCTTAAAAAAGATAAACGGAAGCAAATTGGAAACAGAAGCAGAGAGAGAGAGAGGTAGGGAGGGAGAGAGAGAGAGAGAGAGAAGGAAATTATAAATAATATGAAAGTATTGATTAAGAGAAAAATATATCAAAAAGTGTCTCTCATGAGGCTGAATGCTGGATGAGAAGGACCAAGGATTATCGAGTTTTGACTAATTAGTCAACGATGCCTTAACGTCTTCTTTCATTCATCTATTATTATCTCTTTTCAACGACTAAAATTAGACATTTTTTGTAATTCACAACAGAAGAATGGGTGAGCAAGAGTGAGAAAGCATCCACGTCGGTGTGCTGTATGAGTATGAGTCTGTGTGTGTGAGTGTATGTGCGTGTGCGCGCCCAGCAAATCATAGCCAAGTTCGGATCTTTTAACTTCACAATTTCATTTTAACATTAGTTAGATTAAGGACACTTTTTCTGATGTCATGTCCATGTCTAGACTCAATTCAGAAAAAGCTAATTTGCTTTCACGAGTCAATTTGCTTTGTCTTTGACTGAATTCAACTAGCCATTTTAATTACAAGATTTATAGTAAGTCAGGCTTTTAATCTCATTTCGCTTCTTCAAAACCAAGTTCAGGTGGCTTTTGGAATACAAGTTTCACCTTTTTCACCAAAACCAACTGGCGACAACGAGATGATGAGGAGAAGAAAAACAAATTGAAAATAGAAATACATGAAGGAAGTATGTATGTGTGTGTCTGTGTGTTAGTGTCTTTGCTGTGCGCTTAGATAACTTCAATAACTTATAAACTCTGAAGACTAGACGTTAAGTCCTTAGAGAAGTCTTCTCAACTTTCAAAAGCTCTGACGGAATATTTGAAAAACGAAACACGTGAATGCAATGAGAAAATCTTAATTAGATATGTGAGTTTTAGAAGAATTTTTTATTCAAAAATGACAAAATGGCTTTGGCAGAAGCTCCACTGCTGAAGACTTGTCAACATCTTACCGAAGAAAGCATCTGATGACTTATATCAAACATAAATTTTGAGATATGTCTCCATTCTGTCATAACGAACATCTTTTTGAATCGAAAATCTTTGTATCTGCTGCGTGTGTCTCTCTGTGTGTGCGTATGTGTATGTGAACATCGAAAGGAGATGTTTTTGTCTGCTACAATCCATGAAAGGAGTTTTGATAACAAGTCGTCTAATCAAACTACATACAAGCATTCTTACTTAACCATTTATGACCAACTGTTGATAAACCATATATGCATATTAGAGAATTCTAAAGCTTTCCAACACTTTACAAAGTGAAAAAAAATAAATTAATTAATAGCTTATTAGACCAGAGAGAGGGATAGAGAGAGGAAGAGAGGAAGAGAGGAAGAGAGAGAGAAAGAGAGAAGACAGAGAGAGAGAGAGAGAGAGAGAGAGAAAGAGGCAATGCTCGAAATTTAAAACCTCAAACTATACAGAGAATATGCATTGAACACGTAAAATCAAGACGACGACTCCCTTCTGAAGTTAGTCGTCCCTTTGAATTTAATAAAAGGAATTTCGAAAAGGAATAATCATAGATCGCAGACTAATTTCTAGTGAATGCATAGCTTGAACGACAAAATTTAGTTTCAAAAACACCTGATCCCTATGTGGAAATTCAGTGAAGTATGAAAGATAGTCGATAGAATAACACAAAGTGGATCTGGATAATCTGTAAAAGAGAACATTCATTTAGAATATGAAAACTTTTGTGAAATTTCTTTTGAAAGACTCTTTTGAACTCTGACAAGGGTAATGAAGAAGAGCCCAATTAGAAGTTGAGGACATAATATTCAGATTAAACGACCTTTTAATGTTTCGCTCTCAAACACACTACACTCTACACTATCTCGAGCTATCAGCCTATGTTGGGGAAAGACGACTTCACTCAATACGCAATGTCTTCTTCTACTCACTCAACCACTATTTAAAAAACTCATGCATAACTAAGCAGAAATTTATGGTTCTCGAATGAAAACGAGTAACATCTGAGTTAAAGTATGATTTGTCCACTGTGGCGGGCTGGCGGGCTGGCTGGCTGACTGCCTGACTGAATGGCTGGCTGTCGCTTTCAACAAGAAAAACATTCATTAAGAAGAAACAATCTCTCTCTCTGAAACTCTTTTCTTCTCCAGCTCATTTCGCGGAATAGACCCGGAATATATTAGAAAATAAAGATTTCCTTTCATCAGAAAGGCAAATGTCGTAATCCAACCAATTACTGAACTGACCATTTGCTCCTAGAAAGAGCTGAACTGGGCAGTTTTTAGTCTTCGATTCCGCCTGTTTTTCGTCTTGCAAGCTAGAGTCCACGTGTAAAATATTTTCCACGCGATTTTCATTTCCATCTTGCAGGCGCGCAGAATCGGTTGTTTTTGCAAGGAGGTCAGAACAAAGACAATCATAAGTTGATGTGAAAATTATTTTTAAACATTTTCTCTGAAAACTTGGATCTCACATACACAGTGTTGCGCGTTGGGAACAAAACGAGGATGTTGTAGTTGTGACGACTATCTCATATGCTCACAAAAGCAACTGTGATGGAGTGGAGCAATGTTTTAATGCGCGAAAGTATGCAGTACAAACAACATCCGCAGCTTATGAACATGAACGAAATTAGCGTAATCTCTCGATCAATAATTTGTGAACATCTATCGAGATTTCATCCTACTTATGGCAATATTCCAAGAAAGACGACTACAAATGAAAGCAATCAAAAATCAACTCTATTTCCTCTCATTCAAACATCAATAAGACGAACAAATAGTTTTTCGCTCTTTTTTCCACTTTCCCACACATTCTGAATGATTTTAAACTTACTTAATAAGCAAATGCAGGGAATTCCATATCAAATATATTTTTGGGCTTAGCAGGACGTCCAATATCGGCCAGTTTCACCGTTTCCGCATTACGAGCAAGTAATCTTCCAACTGTACGTGAAAGGTCTGATGTGTCTCCTCTGGAAATTGCTTCTTCACATCGAATATCGAAAGGACGTCTGACATCTTCCAGAGTTGCAGCAATAGTTTCCTTAAACAATTCATGAACAGTTTCAGAAGCATTCGAGTCTCATACCCGCTCTTTCTTTTCCTCCTCTGCTTGATCAATAGGAGTATTGGCGAATGTTCGTAAAGCGTCTACAGACATTGGTAAGCCAGTTCCCGTTTGTTCTTGAATTGAATGTTCAAATGAATATATTATATTATTACTCACTGTTACTGTTTACTATATTCAATGAGAAAACGGTATTACGACGACTTTGTCTGGCACTTCCTGGTGGCGTCCAGTCTACTGAAAGATCTACGGAGACGTCGTCTATGCCAGCTGAGGAAGAAAAATATATCACCGCTAATGAGTATAAAAAACCTGTTGTCAATGGTGGAGTTCCTGGACAACCATCAGTTTCATCAGCATCTACATTAGTTGTTGTAGCAATGACGGTGAAAGGCATACCCAAACGAGATACATCTTTGCCAGTGGCCTGAAGAACAATACAGTTCACAGAGATTACAAAATGAAACAAACCTTCAGAGCTTCGGAGATAGCATTCTTATCAAACATCATACCAGCGTGCTCTTCAATGCCTTGTAAACTGACACTCTCTTCTTTGTTTCCATCTTCATCTTCGAGAAGGTTCATTCCAACTGGTCCACTCTTCGCTCTTGTACTTACAACCTTGACAGAATACTTATTTCATGAGATCTACTGTCTTCATACTTGTTGAACGTGTTGACATAAAGCAGGGTTAGCCATTAATTGAGCTGCTAGATTCATGAACTTGGCGACAAGGTTATGGAGAGCCATTCGCTTCTGATCTCCCATCTCAATGGTGTCATCCAGAGCATAGCTTTGTATTCCTAATGCCAAACGGAACAATTCAATCAGAGTCTGAAAGATATGACATACGATTTGAAGGATAGGAAAGTACGTACCTCATCAAAACCAACTTCAATGCACAGCAGACTCATCGTACACAAAATGGAATCGACATGACTGGTTATGAAGTCATCTTCAGCAATCATTACAATGGCTCTGAACGGTAATGCTTAAAAGAAGTGTGTGTCTCTCTTACTTGTAGAGCATTTGGGTGATGTTATGGGTGTTCTTTCTCATGAACATTTGATCTGCCCTCGAACACTTCTCGACTGTTAGCTGAACGTCTGATACGTCAATCACATGAGAAAGATGACGTAAATGTGAAAGGTTATCGTGTCTGAAAAAAATAGGATACATGGATGTTCAAAAAGCGTGATTACCTGTCTAGCAATGTGTGGAAGATTTCTTGTGTTCCCAAGCGCACTTGTGGATCGGCTACAAGAGCAAGCTGCGTCAAGGTCAACAGGAAAGAATCCGTGAAAACCGTGGCTAGATAAGCTGTTCGGTATTTTGTAGCAACCTGAAAGTAAAAATTAGCATATATGCAAATGAATCTGAGCCGCCCACGCCACGTGGGCGAGCGTTTCATTTTTACTTATGCATAGGTCGATACCGGTTGAATAAGGTTTTCATTAGTAGTCGAGTATATAAATTCTGTTTTGGAGGAAGAAACTCACTTTCAACAATGTCTTCACAAGTACATGCTGTAAGAACTCGTCTCCATGTCTGCTGCGTTTCTCATCCAACGAAGGTATATTGCCAACAGTGAACATCATCATCTCAACCTAAAAACAACTAAAATAGGTACAATTTCTTCTAGAATTCACCTTTTGATAATCAGGAAGAGCGTTGGCAAAGTCACCCATAGCGTTTATCAAAGCATCCTGATATTTCTTCTCCGCTACTAAATCCCGGCATTTACCGGATCGCTCAAAGTCAACAGATGTTCTCAAATGTTTCAACAGCGAGTTGAAAATAGAGAGTAACAAAGGTCCGATACTAGTTCCAGCTATAGACACAATGTTCGATAGCACTGTGGCTATTCCAATTCTAATTGAAGCATCAGCAGAGCACATACTATCCAGGTGATTAATAAGCTCCTGGATGACAAATCTTTATAAGAATATGTACTCAATAATCAAACCTGTATAACAAAGTAACTGTTCTGACTTTGTATGCTATAGATTATGGCTCGGAAAACGTGAATGGCAAAGGCAGGAGGAGGCGACCATTGCTTATGTAAGTCCATGTGTTTCAATACAGGTTCGATGACAGCTCGGAGAGAACCGAAAGAAGCCTACATAATGAAGAAATATTTCAATTAACAAGAGCAACTCATGCTACCTTTCCCATCAATTCTCTCAAACAACGATCTGAAAGTGTTCGTGGTGTTTCATCTCTGTCCGTTTCATCAGTGAAGGTACCATCAAAAAGAGAAGAGGTATGGCCAGAAGTAACATCGTCTGATAAGATTATTTTCAGTGTACAAACATGATTAAAGTGAGTACCTGATTCTTGCAAGTTGTACAAGATGGAAGGTACGATCTTATCCATATGTTGCTGCTCCCAAATATTAGGATGCAGATCATCGGTCACAGATTTCCAAACAACTCCTCAAATTAATCGAATGCTCAGTTGATCTAGATAAGCTAACCTCGTAATCCTTTTAAACCTGCAAGACGTATAAGCTTCGAATCATCCCCATAAGGACCGTGGCACATTTGAGAGAACTTAGATATGAAGAAATCGTATTGCCTATGATAAGATGGACTACTCTCTTCAATGTTCGAGAAAGTAACGAATGAATCAGTAGCCAATTGCTTAAGAAATATTGTCAATTTTGCTAAAGCTTAGAAATTGAACCTCCATCTTCGGATTTCCCGACTCCAGGAGCTTTTGCACCATTTTCAAATGATTCTCACTGAACTGCGGTAGACTAGGAGAGCTGTGACATGACTGTAGTAGTTGATCCATAGCTTCAACTGCGATCTGAAGAACAGTTTTTCTTTGATGGTTTATAAGTTGTACTCTTACCTTCACTTGAACGAATCGTTGTCGGCTCAAATCTCTTGCTAACCGTAGAACCAAATATTCACCTATTCTTTCTAACTTTTCAGGATGAGATATAGCATAGAACGTCAGTTTCTGCATGTTAGCAGAAATCAAACCCTCAGTAATTGAGCGCGGATAAATGGAATCCGCAAGCCGCCGATATCTGTGGGAAAGTTATAGTGATCAATCCGAGATTCGTAATGTTACCTTGGCTTGCATGGTGTACAACAGCATAAACCATTCATATCAGCGGATTTCTTGAGATCTCTCCAAGCTGACAAACAGCAAACTTTTTCAAGATCAAAAAGGTTGAAAAAGTAGCTTTGTTGCGGCTGTGGGGTATCTTGATCACGCTCCTCTTGCCCTCCTCGTACGCAAACTGCGCACTCGAACTGAGAATACATGTCATTAGCACAGTGAAATAAAAAAGGTTTCAGGAGTAAGCCAAATTATTTGGATGATCTACGAGTCTGCACCATTTAGAAAGGGAATAGCGACAGGAGGCCACACAGGGATGTAATCTTATGGGTCGAAGCGTTTGTTCTGATCGAAGCAAAAGCTAGTTACGCGCTCCCACGTCAGACTGATGGGCTGATATACTTCGAATTGATGAGAGAAAAAGAATGAAATAGTCAGATATTCATCACAAGTGAAAAAGGCTACTAAGCCGTCAGTAGCGACGAAGAGTACGCTGATGTAGCTGGGCGCTCTCGTCAACAGCCCAAAACCAAAGCGGGAATGACGAAGAAACGCTTTTTTGCAAGACTTCGTCCGTTGAGATATCTTCAGAACAGCGCCCAACTATGCATCGATCTAGTAACTTGCACACACTCATGTGGAAAATCCAAACATACATAGACACAACCTCCATAATTAGGCATGCGCCTTGCCAACTCCTTGCGCTAACTTATTCGTTTTTTCATTCAAAATATATGTTGGCAATCACTGTCACTAAAAGCACACAATTTTCTTTTAAATTCAAAAGCCAATCTGGGGCAAATCCGTCTTAATCACATGTTTTCACTTAAAGACGGAAAGCTTTCATTGGAAATGAAGAAGCCATTTGGAGCTAAACACAAGTCTTCATTCAACCATTAAATAACAAAAAGAAAACAGAATTGATGTACTTCTATTTAGAAAAGTAAGTGAGAAACAACAAACTTAGGAAAAGAACTGAATGAAACGACTTCTTGACTAACTATAAGCATACTCAAGTTAAAGTCTGTTTCAACAGCCAGAAGATCAATAAACCCGCAGCACATTAATTTACTCGAGTAGAAAAGAAAAAAACCTACACAGTTGCATTTGAAATTAGTGATTGAAACAGATTCAGTGTAAGCACGAGATCGGTCTACTGGCATTCATAGACTTACAAACTGCTTCAGAACATTTCATGTTCATCATGCCTATCAGATATGCGATAAGAGCATTAAAAATTATACAGAACGGCGTGCGTAAAAGGCACAACGGAGAGGAAAAGACTCCGGCGCATTGACTACGTAGATAACCAAATAATAATTGGCATTGCATATCACATTGTAAAGAATTGAATGGAAGTTAACCATATGTATGTGTAACAGCAGTTTTCAATGTTTTTATTTGATATATATATAGTACAACATAGCTGCTGTAGTATGACATCTGAACTTGATAGAAATCTCATCATATAATCTTGAGGGTACTGTTTGACCTAATCTCTGTTGGAATGATCTTTTTTGTATTCACATTAACACCATTCTCGTAGCACTTCCCAACGATCTGCTGGAGGTTTACCGAAAAAATTCACCTGAACATCCGAATAACGTCTTTTGGGGGCTCCGAAGTCTCTACAAGCAGGGAAAATATTATTTTAGAGGAGAAAGAACTTGAACCTAAAACCAGAATCTTTCCACGAGTAATTGAATTTCTCTAAAGCCATTCTAATCTCTTCATCGGTTGATAAGATTGATTTAGGGATAATGGGCTTGAACGTAATTTTTACGGTTGGGAAGAGGAAGACGGAACGAAAAGCAAAATGACCTCCATATATGGGATGCAAACTCAATCCTATAAACTTCTGAAAACAAAATGTTTTCCAAAAACATACAATGCGCTCCCAACCAATTTGGCATCCATCCTTCCTTCAGGTGGCCAATCCTCTTTCTGTACATGTTTCGGCTGATAGTAATAGGCAGCTCCTGAATCAGAAGCTGTTCACGCTCTACAATCTAATGAAACGTACATGCAAAACAGTACATACTTCTAAACAAGTTACATGTGATAAAAAGTTCAAATCACAATGACAGGGAAGCTATACAAGCCAGGATGTTAACATGAGTTTGGAGCAGAACAGAAGCATGAAACTCACCACTAACGTGTCCACAAGTTTGAACGAGTATCTTTGGTCGTCGTGCAGGCGTCATCGAGTAATCATGGTACAGCTCGTATGGCACTTCAAGCTTCTACAAAAAACAAGAACTGTACTGATTGAATTAGGAACTCAAAGTTACTTGTTCGACTTCTGACAGGCGGAAATTCATAAACTCTTGGATAGGAGAGGATACTTCTTCGGCGATAGCGTCAAGTGATCCTAACTTGAAAGAATAAAAATAAAACAACTTTCTCTCAGTCTCAATAGATCACCTGCTCAAGCTTCTCACGGAACCAACGTTTGAAAGAAACATCAAACATCATAGGAGTGCTAAGTATTACAACTCCTGCTGCGTCAGAATCCATGTTGAGTTTGAAATCTTCGCTAACAGACTTATTATAGCTCTCAACCTGAAAAAAAAGGAGTACGTGAGCATAATGATACAGAAATTACCGAGAATATGTAGGATTCGAAGCCGTCCTCCGTCGGAAGGCTTTCATCAATTAAATCCTTCAATTTCTCAATCGTATACATATTCTGAAACATTGTAAATCGAAAACATGAACATCTCAAAATGCAAAGAACGAGAGCGGAGATCCGTTGTATCACATGAGACCTTCTAGCAATACTTTTAATTACCCGAAAATAGAGGTAAGCATATACAGAAAACAAAAACGAACAGTATGAATAGAGATCAAGAATGTTATTCAATTATAAAAAAAGTTATTTAGGACTTTCGTCATCACTGCTCGAACTAGAGCTACTTCCACTACTCATTTGTTGGACTGTGTTCACAGCAAGAGCTTTCCTAGGTGCCATTCCACTAACTGTTACGCTAGGAGAAGTAAGATGGGGAGAATTCTGATTATGAAACTAATGCAATGAACACAAGATATGAAAGAACCTGTTTTTGTCCCCATGGGTAAGGTGACGTCTCATGTCCTGGTCGATTATTCCATCCCATCGTAGGAGTTCCTCTACCCCTAGGAGAAGATGTCGTTTGCTGATATCTGTTGCGATAAGTATGATATCAGGACTAAACGACTATACTGACCCGAATCTTGGACTACCATTGCCACTCCATTTCTGTTGATTTAGATTTGTCATGGGCGACGAGCCGCTGCCACGTCCTAGAGCAATTGGAGGTGTTCTAATCTGAAAAATAAAAACTCAGTTAGGCCGTAACTATGATAACGGTTTTAACGTTCTTCAAACAAACCTGACTTGCACTTTGCTGTCGAAGCATACTGATGGGATGTGCTTGTTGTACAGTTCGAGGAGCAGCTAACTGCGAGTTTCGGAACTCTGGCTCAGTAGGGAAAGGACGAGATGGATCACCTGAACTTTTCAGATCATAAATGAACTTGTTCAAGTAACACTCACCTTGTTGCCAAAACAAGGGGGCAGCAACAGAATAACTTTTACTGATTTGGTGAGCGAATCGTATGACTTCTTCACTATCAATGGGGTGAGCTTCGGCTGTACGTACTGAGTGGAGTTTTTTATTAGCCTAAAGCGTTGTGTTCAAAGCATTGAAGAGATGAATTACCTGGAAAACAGCAGCGGTCAAGGCGACTTCGGCTACTTTAAGATTTGCTTCGAGATTTTCGATAATTTCATTTCTGTTCTCTACGCATTCTTCTAAGCTACGAATAAGGTTTTCTCTTTCTTGAACTTGAGATGCTGTAAAACAAAGAACAAGGTTATGAAAAAAGTATGAAAGGAAACCTTTTTCCAGTAATTTCTTCATATACTGTTGCTTAGATTCAAAAAGTTGAACTAAATGTGACATAGACTCATTGCCCTTATGATGTTTATCTCTGTTTAACAAAGATTCAATAATCTAAACGACATTACATAACCAAATAACGTGTGCGTCAAAGGAATACCTGTTTAGTGATGCTCTCCAAATCATCAACAGCTTCTAGTAGACATTCCCGGAGACTTCTACCAATGTCCGTCATCAGGACTTGTTAAAGTTGTTCAAATAATGAAGAATAGCTTCTATCTTCTCCGAATATAGCAGTTTCAAGCCAACACAAGATTAGCACAGACAAGAAGAGTACGTAAAAAGCGTACGTAAAACAACGTTAAACTAAAAAGGTGGAACATGGAGGCAACGAAAGAAAAACACCATATGGTCTGGTTGATAAGCAAATGCAATATTGAACATGTATTGCCTAATACGGTTACGAATGATTGAAAAAAACTGAGAACAATGAGAACGAAAATTACATATCACCACAGTATCTCTCTTACCTTGGTTCACTTGTCTTGAAGAAAAGATTTTCTGAAAAAGAGAAATAAGTTGGTGACTGATTGAAAAATTTGAGTGTTCTTTGCAACCTAACCGCTGTGGGCGTCATCAAAAAAGAAAATGAATTACTCTACGTCTATTCATTATCCGTGCGCACGTGGAAACGTGGCATGCTAATTAATTAGAATAACGTGGTCTGTTGCTTCATTTTGTTCTATATCCTATTATCTGAGCAGTAGAACTTACTTTTGCACTCTCTTGTTTCTGTGCAACTTCTATTTGAGTTTTCGATTTCATTAACTCGTCAAAGCCTGAAGTGTGCAAGGGGTTATCAGCACAAACATCAAATTCAACTTAGAAGGTTCAGTCTGCTTACTACGGCTGAAGTATTTGCGGCAGGGATAATTGGGTTGCATTTGTTTCCGACCTTAAGTTATATCCGAAAAAACGTGTGTTTCTGAAAGAAACAAACCAACGGCTTGACAGCTGCAGCTGAATCAGTTGTTCGCAGGAAGAAAAGGAAAACACCTATCCTTAGGGGCAGCATTGTCCTAGACTAAAGGTTGTACAGCTCGTAGGACTTGGTAACAGAGAGCCGTATCAGATTGAGTTAAATTTCAGTCTGTGAAATACTGTTACGATTAGCAATTCGGGATTTAAACGCCTGGGAATATGACGCGGGAAATCTGACAGCATGAGCTGCAGCCTGTACTTGTGTGTGTAACGAAAGAACTCTAACATCATAAATGTATTTATTGACTAGAATGATAGTGAAAACTGTTTACAATACATAGGAAAAAAGTTTTTTTGCAATGGGAAAGTCGGAGAATTATGCAGCCGAAAATGCTTTGTTCGTATATTGAAATCGTTCCATTCTTCTGAGTTCACACAGTGGTACTTGCCTGAAGTAGCTTCTCTTCTGTTTCATGTTGAGAAGGTGTTGCTTCATTCAACATGACAACTGAAAAACAAAAAAAATAGACTTATTTTTGTTTTTCTTTGAGCTTCTCACCGTCTTTGGATCTATCTGATATTCCTCCCTCGATGATACGAATCTTAGTAGGTCTGGTTGACTTATCGTATATGAAGAGTGCCAAGTAAACGCCATTGAAGCCGAACTGGGAATAGTATAGAAGCTGAAACGAGATAGTTTTCAGAAGCGATTATCAAACAAGCAAATAAGCCATTAGCAAAATGAAAACATATTTTGCTTAAGCGGATAAAGAGGATACATGCATGTCCTTGTATCATTTACCTTAGCCAAGCAGTTGTAAATATAATATCCATCACTGTTCGACGGTTGGATGATTCCCAGTATACCAGCTATACGAGCAATGTTGTCAGGAGCATTCAAACCAATATCAATCAGAGCGAATGACAACCATCGGAATAGGAAATGGTTGGACTTCTGTAAATAAACCTCTCTCTTACTTCAAATTATGATTCATTTCAATCTCACATGAGCCGGCTGAGACACATTCTTGCGAATTTCCTGTTTCTGTTGGAAATGAAAGCGAAGTCCTAAAAGCACAGAAGCATCTACATATATGATTGTGATTGTTGGAATAACAAAAGATCTGAAAACATAAATGGTTATTGCCTTTATAAGGATTGACAACATACGCAACAGATTCTAGCAGGAGGAAGCTCCGACTAAGCAAAGTCGAATTTGCAATTGTTGTGATCGTACATCCACCCTAAAAAATAATTTGTTGAATAATTAAAAATGGCATTTATGGTACTTCTGGATCATTAACAACAGCAATCAAAAGCCATAGATTGAAAATAGAAGCAAAACAGATGACGAGCATCATGACCTGTAAGCGAGAGCACGGTACAAAGAAAGTCAGAGTGTTGCACCTTGTAAGGTAACTTCCATAGCCGGATATAGACAAGAGGGTGATAAACAGAGAGATATCTGAGAGTTGACATCAAGAGCCAGCTCCAGATGGAAACGCAGGTGGCAACATGCATCGAAAATAAGGTAGTCTGAAAACAAAAGAGCTGAGATAACAATATGACGGCTTACCTTGCATATCAAGTTCATGGAGACTTGGTGTAAATAGTTGGAAGTGATGACAGTTTCAGAAGTGATCGAGAGAGTATAGTGTACAGTAATGGATAGAAGGGACACGATATCGGCAATCGCCATAATGAAGAGACATAGTCCAGCTCCATTGCTGAAAGAAAGATAATTTTTTTCAAAAAAACTTGAGGTTTGATCAACTAAACACACTGCTGCAATAATTATTCATTTGATTTATACACATATTCATGTAAAATGACGGGGAGAACTAATTTACGTAAATGGCACGAATGAAACTGCGAGACTTTGAGAAAGCTCGTTGGATTTTCGTGATTTTTGCAGAAGTTGATGAATTCATCATAGAATTGAAACACAAAAGAGAACAAGAAGCAGATGTTAATAAGGAAATGTCGAAAGTAGTAAAACGACAAGTGATCAATTGTCTTTTGAACAGATTAGACTGGATTTGTGCAAGCGGGAAGTAAGGTTAAGATAACTCACTTGTAAAGATCTTTAGACTTCTTCGATAGTCTGATCATTCTGATCAGAACAAATATATTACATGGAATTCCAAGGATGACAGTTGCTGGATAGAGTATGTAAGCACAGGCTGTCACTGTCACCACTAAGTCGGAATCCTCAGGGTAATAAGGCAATGAGCTGTTCTCCATTGTTTCTGAAGTATGTATGTTATGACAAAGGAATGTAGAAAACATCAAAGAACTAAGATGCAAACAGTTTGATAGCTTTTTTTGTCAAGCATCAAGATAAGAAGCATATTTGGCAGTTATACACTTTTGGCAAATGGCACAGACTCTTGTAAGTTGCACCAAACAACGAATTCGAAATCGTTATCTACCAAACAGCATCTATGCTCTCATGTCAAGAGAAAAACTTTTGAAGTCATGTTAACTTGAAAGAAAGCACATACAAATGATATGAAGGAATCTAGATAAGTGTCAGAGCAGAGCAAATCGGGGTGATCATTCGAGCTTTGGAAACATGCTCATGTTGCTAATAGATTTACTAATATGAGAATAGAATATGATCTGAGATCTCAAGTTTGTGATTTCTTCGAATTTCAAGTTGAAACTCCTCCCCCTTCTCGTATATGGCAAATAGTTTTTCAGTTTTCTTCATCAATTCTTTTCTAACAAAAACAAAGTGTGATGCATATGAACTCAGTGGTTGAGAAAGAGAGGAAAAGATATTTTTCATTAAAAGTACTCGACAAGAAGTTAGAAAGCTATTGACTTATAATCTGAAAGGGTGTTCAGAAAAAATGAGAGTTGAAGTTCAGAAGTAGAAGAAGCACAAGCGATACATATAGAAGGAACTTCCTCACTATTAAACGCCATATGGAAGAATGAAAACTTTTTCAATTATTTCCGAGCCGAATGAACCAAATCCTCATTGAAGCATAGATGTCAATGGAAGTTTTCATAAAAGTCAGAAAAATAAAAAAAAATGGAAAAGTTGAAGAAAGCGGAAGAGATGCAAATTAGCCTTCCCATAAAAGCTGAGTTTAAACCATTCCTTATTGAGATAGAGGGTTATGAACATGTCGCCCCATGTCGCCCACACAAAGTTGCGGATGACAAAAACGGATTCAATGGAGGGAAACTAATTATTTCACATTTTGGTATGAATGAAAATTTGACATGTATCAAGCGATGAAGATAGAGCGCCATGCGAGTAGCATGTGAGTGCCACGACTGTGGCAACCTTAGGTCTATCATAAGTTATCTTAATTTATTCGTATACTGCCACTTGCCAAGAGGTATAGTCTCTCATTTGCCATTTACATCAGCAAACCACAAAATAAAACTCTTTATTATTCTTCTCTCAACTTCTATTTACTTATACTTTCTGATTATTACTTCCCACAGCACAAATCAGAATTATTCAAACTGCCTCATAGCCAATCGCAATCATTAAAGAGTCAGACAGAAAAATAAATAAGAAATAAGCTAACTGCCCACCAACTCCCATTATCAACTTCATTTCGCTTCTTGTGAACGCGCAGAGCGGTTGGTTGTGTTTCTTGCTCTTGACAATCGGTCATTCGTTCAAAAGTTATTGCAATTGAATAATTAACAACGTGAATGACGTGTTTGATCTATGCCATTACCTTGAAGGAAACTATTCATCATCTATCATCGGACGATATAGGGTTCGAAGCTGCAATATGAGAAAGAGCACAATCTCATAGTAAATACCATTCACTGAGGAGACTATGATGACAACAGTCAAACATTTACCTTCTTTTGAAAACCCATCAACAACTATCTATTATACGGAAATAACACTGTCCAGTTTTGTGATCAATCAAAGATGTCTCGTTATTCAAGTTGAATGTTGGTTTCTATGATGTCAGATGTTTTTTTATACTTATGAAAGGGTACTAATTAACAATGCCGCCGGGTTTTTGAAAAGCAACACATGGCTATCCTACAGAATTTGAGCTTCTGTATCTTGCCGAGTAGGCATCAGAATCGAAATCTGATCAAATATTCGTTTGTTTCAGACTCGAATTAGTAAGACCTCCAAGTTTCAGAAAAATTTTTGAAAAAATATTTTTTTCGATCAGTTTTCAAGATTTGCCGAGATCGTCTCGCTCATTACGCAGAGCTGAGTCGGACCATATCTTGGAGGCGAGCCAGCAATGACGTCATAATCCTTGAGCTTCTGTATCTTGCCGAGTAGGCATCAGAATCGAAATCTGATCAAATATTCGTTTGTTTCAGACTCGAATTAGTAAGACCTCCAAGTTTCAGAAAAATTTTTGAAAAAATATTTTTTTCGATCAGTTTTCAAGATTTGCCGAGATCGTCTCGCTCATTACGCAGAGCTGAGTCGGACCATATCTTGGAGGCGAGCCAGCAATGACGTCATAATCCTTGAGCTTCTGTATCTTGCCGAGTAGGCATCAGAATCGAAATCTGATCAAATATTCGTTTGTTTCAGACTCGAATTAGTAAGACCTCCAAGTTTCAGAAAAATTTTTGAAAAAATATTTTTTTCGATCAGTTTTCAAGATTTGCCGAGATCGTCTCGCTCATTACGCAGAGCTGAGTCGGACCATATCTTGGAGGCGAGCCAGCAATGACGTCATAACCCTTAAGGCTTCTGTATCTTACCGAGTAGGCATCAGAATCGAATTCTGATCAAATATTTGTTTGTTTCAGACTCGAATTAGTAAGACCTCCAAGTTTCAGAAAAATTTTTGAAAAAATATTTTTTTCGATCAGTTTTCAAGATTTGCCGAGATCGTCTCGCTCATTACGCAGAGCTGAGTCGGACCATATCTTGGAGGCGAGCCANGAGATCGTCTCGCTCATTACGCAGAGCTGAGTCGGACCATATCTTGGAGGCGAGCCAAAAGAGGCGCCGCTCAAACTTCGAGCTACTGTATCTTGCCGAGTAGGCATCAGAATTGAATTTTGATCAGATATTCGTTCGTTTCGGACTCGAATTAGTAAGACCTCCAAGTTTCAGAAAAATTTTTGAAAAAATATTTTTTTCGATCACTTTCAAGATTTGCCGAGATCGTCTCGCTCGTTCCGCAGAGTTGAGTCGGACCATATCTTGGAGGCGAGCCAGCAATGACGTCATAATCCTTGAGCTTCTGTATCTTGCCGAGTAGGCATCAGAATCGAAATCTGATCAAATATTCGTTTGTTTCAGACTCGAATTAGTAAGACCTCCAAGTNCTCCAAGTTTCAGAAAAATTTTTGAAAAAATATTTTTTTCGATCAGTTTTCAAGATTTATTAATTATACGATTTCTTTTTTTGTTTTACTTAAGACTAGCCACGTCAACAAACTTTTCATCTGATCAGTGCGCACACGCTAGTATGTGCATACAGATAAGATAGTGTCAGTACCAACTGTTTACGATTTTCACCCTTCTCTCTTTCATTGAACCTTCTCCTCTTTCCATCTTTTGTTTTGATTCGATTTTTGGATTATCGTTTTTCTATATCATCACCTTCATTAGAAGCTTTTGAAATGAGGTCAGTTTTTCGATTTTGATAGTAATATTTATCAAGCGAATAAGATAATTTATTGTTCATACTTTTACTTAATATTTCTTTTAGTGACCTTCCTCAATCTTCCGGAAATCCTGAAATTGATGCTCTGGATAATGCCCAACTGTTTCATCGTTTAGGGAATGAAAATAATCGATTGAGAGTTGCAAACAATCAATTGGAAGATGCAAATAATCATTTGAAAGCTGAAAAAGATCGATTTAGATATGAATATGATCGTTTGATAACTGATTTTAAACGAGCGGAAGATGCAAAGAATCATTTCAGAGCTGAAAATGATCATTTGAGAGCTGAAAATAATGGATTGAAAGATGCAAAGAATCATTTCAGAGCTGAAAATAATCGATTGGAAGCTGCAAATAATCTATTTATATATGAATATAATCGATTGAGAGCTGAAAATAGTCGATTGGAAGATGCAAATAATCAATTGAGAGCTGAAAATAATCGATTGATAGCTGCAAGTGGAAACATAAGTCGAGAAGTTCTAAATTACTATGAAGATGCTCAACGAGCAATGAGCATGTTACGAGCTTCACAAAATGAGTTTCGAGAAACAATAAATGCACATACTCAATATCCGAACTTACGAGATCTGCTTAATGATATACTAAGTTTCTCAACTGTTGATGCTGATGATGGTATCGCCAATATACCTCCTAGAGAAGACCAAAGCGGAACCTTTGTCTTGTGCAAATCTAATACAGATGTCAGGCTCTTTTATGTGATTAGAACCCAAGAAAATGATGCAGAACCATCTTTAAGTGCTGTTAGTGGAGATATGGAAGAAATCTTGCGATTGACTTCAGTTCCAAACCCCTCACACCTGTATTTATTAATTCAGAAACTATTACCAGAAGCTACGTTTAGTAATAATGAGCTCACTTTGCTTGACAATAGGACTGCAGATGAATTGAAAACCGAAATCGCCCATATTTACAAGCGTTATATCATCGCATTGTCTCGCCAGATCATTACGAACTACGGTGCCATACGGAATCTTCGCTCGTAATGATCTGTTACATTACAAGTTTGATAAACCCTTTCTCAGAATGTTGTGTTCCCTCAATGCAATACAAGCTATAATTAACATAGGGATGGCAACTAAGGCAGTACAGCCTTTTTTTCGATCAGTTTTCTACATTTGCCAAGATTGTCTCGCTCGTTCCGCAGAGCTGAGTCGGACCATATCTTAGAGGCGAGCCAAAAGAGGCGCCGCTCAAGCTTCGAGCTTCTGTATCTTGCCTAGTAGGCATCAGAATTGAATTCTGATTAAATATTCGTTCGTTTCAGACTCGAATTAGTAAGACCTCCAAGTTTCAGAAAAATTTTTGAAAAAATATTTTTTTCGATCAGNAATTAGTAAGACCTCCAAGTTTCAGAAAAATTTTTGAAAAAATATTTTTTTCGATCAGTTTTCAACATTTGCTGAGATTGTCTCACTCGTTCCGCAGAGCTGAGTCGGACCATATCTTGGAGGCGAGCCAAAAGAGGCGCCGCTCAAACTTCGAGCTTCTGTATCTTGCCGAGTAGGCATCAGAAT